GGGAAGCTGAACCAGCGGTGGAGAAGCCGACCGAAAAATAGCTTCGGGTTCCAATTGAGGAATTCATTTACAGCCATCTGGGAAGGCTGATGAAGACAGAACTTCAAATCACTCAGAGGAATGGGGTTTGGTTGTTTCTATTTTGAACAATTTGCCCGGCCTCTCCTGAACCCTAAATTCATCAACATGTGCATATATCCTGTATCACTGGCTCCGGACAGAAGTTTGCGTACGGTGTCTTGGATGCAGAGTACATGAGCGATCTCTGGGATGAGGCGGCGCTCGAGCTGGGCCCTTCTTCGCTTTCGTGGGAATTTCGTCTCTCAGGCTCTTTGGGATCAGCGAAATGTCAGGGCCCGAGATGGAAGCAGTGTTAACTGCAACGTGCCGTTGATGATACGATGCTAGACGAGGGCGACAGAGGTAGAGACAGTGGTGGCGCTTCTGCAGTAGGTTCCGTTGCGCTGGTGCTATGCAGAAGGGTGAACGATCGGGTGGTAGAGTCGGAATGGTATGATGAACAAACGGCGCTGAGGAGGATTCCCTAGCCATAGTCGCCTTCCGCCTCGGAGACTCGGCCTTTTGCTTCCCGGTTCAAGTGGCTGACGCACTGCTTCGCTTCGCTGGAGCCATTCGCCGCTCGGTCGCAGGGCAGCGGCGCATACTTGCCGTCCAGCCAGCGCGCCCGCTCTTCGACGCGCTACGATTCTGCGATCCAACACCAACCCATGGTCTTGAACCCGACGAACTTCCTCGCACTCCACAACATCGCAGCAGCGACACAACCACCAGCGACTGCGCCAATACACCGTCTTTCGATCCAGCATGGCTCCCCCCACCAAGCGAAGCTACGCATCCATCGCTCTGGAAGTCATTCGCAACTTCTTCAACGGCAACCCTGCGGGACTGCTTACTACAGGATATGCATGCTATATCCGTCGGTCCGACTACAGCGAGCTTCAACGCCTTCTGGAAGACGACCCTGAGTTACAAGACTTCGCTTTCCGCAAGCTCCGGCTCATCTACAGACCAAGCAGCAGGAAGCTTTCGTACGACCTCATCAGCTCTGTCCACGAGACAATTTGCCTGCAACTGAACAAGAGCATGCACAATCAACTATCAGCCATCGAGAGGAAATGGAAATTGCCCGACATCAATGGCAAGCCTCACCTGAACCTGGCGAAGCTGATTGTACCCCACAGCATCACGCCAATCATACAGGGGGAGCATCCGAGGAAGAAGAAGTCGCCAGACGCGAACTTGCTGTTCTACGCTTGGGACCCACCCCAGTCTTGCTTCGCTCTCGAGGTCGCTAGCTCTCAACGATATGAGCACGTAAAGAGCACGGTCATGAATTCCATGGAAGAGACCGGTGGCAGGCCTGGATTAGTCCTGGTCATCACCACCAACTACAACAGACCGAAGGCGAAGACGACTGACAACACGACCATATTCTCCCTCTTCCAGACATACGATAAGACACAGACCGACGGGTCAGTCAGTCGCATGATAGGCTACAAGAAGCGGAAGCAGGTCATCTGCGAGTCAAGCGGCAAGCCCAGCGACGGCGTCATCTCATTCACCGTCAAAGAGATGCTGGGTCCGGCCAACAAAAACATCTATCAACCCAAACTTGATTCGAATAATCCTATCGTCGCCACAAACACGGCAAAGCTTCTTGATGAGAAGATCACGTTCACATATGCCGACATCGCGAACTGGAGGAAGAAAGGTGAGAAGCTGTCACGTAGGAACAAGGACTCCCTCTGACAGTGGGATCACAACCTGGCGTAGCGTTTATCATCAGCCCTTGATAGAGCTGCTCGATAATCACCTTTTGTTCTATATGGATTGAGAGACCGTAGCTGGATGCAGTCGTTATATTTTCAGACTCTGCCTACATCAAAATGCTTTTTCTCGCGGCCTATCAGGAGGTTTATTCCCCTGAGCAATAGATAGATTAATATGTGCGTTAATGAGAGCTATTTGAAAAAATGATTCATTGTCCTCGTGTATGTAGGTTTCCAGCCTACCCCGCGTGGTCGATGTTGGAAATACTCCGGAACTTAGAAAAGATGATTGTATACCAAACGCGGTACGGAAAAATTAATTTCCCATAATGTACCAGGATTGCCCGCGGGAGCAATCTTCTAAATCTTGCATTTGCGTAAAGCCATTTGCTCCCAAACAATCATTTGGGCAGCGCATTAAAAAGAAAAGGAATGAAGCGTAAGATAGACGTAAGATATAAGAGTAAGCTTGATGATCTGGAAGATAGTAGGTTTATGAATTGAATATCCGTATATTATCATTCTTCGTTGTCATCTTTCGTTCTCCCACTCATATGTTGAAATATATATGAATGAGCATTAGCAGCAGAGGCTCGGAGTTATATAGTGTCTGCCCGCAATGTATAGCCTCTGGAGGAATTGGAAAGCTGGGGGTTGCTTTGAATATGCCCTAGGTAGAGCACCAAACCAGCTGGTGAGTGTCCGTACTCGCCATGTCCTCTGAGCCCTGAGGATATTTCCCAGAGCTAAAAGAAGAGAGCAAACTACTGTAAGCAGCCTGTGCAGTACTGATCCAAAGCCTTCTCCATTGGTTTGGAGCGACTGCAGGCTTAGAGTTCAAGCCGCCGCTCACGACGCGTAGTGTTACCAGAACACCCTTCCCAACAAGGCTGTTGTTCAAGTACATCACGGGGCTAAACAAAGCGTCTAGAGTAACTGGTGATAGCGAATCGGATGGTTAACACACCAGTTCATCACTCAGTGTGCCCATACAATGCATCACGCTCTGCCAGCGCTCCTCTATATAATATACCCATTCGCAGGATTGGATCCACCTTCTGCAACTCTCCACAAGAAACCCCTTTTGCTTGTAACCCATTTACAATCTGTTCAAGATTTGGGATTCATCATGTCATTCTCCCACCCAGCTACCGAACCGAAGGATCCCCAGAACTCCAATGGCGGCCATCAACCACAACAGGCTCAACCAAAGCCATCCAGCGAGTTTTCCTTGAGGATCAACAGAGCAAGGGCTAACGGGATCTTCGAGAGGATCTTGCGTTGTTCGGCAGGAGGACGCATGGACGTTCCAACTGCTGGCACTCTTTCCCTCCGCCAATCTGGCTATGAGCGGCTCCTGCAACTCCTTTCGAAGGACACGGCACTCGAGGAAACCGCTTTTCAGGACCTCAAGATGTCCTATAACCGGTTGCGGCGCCAACTATCGTACGAGGTGCCTACCAACATCCGTCAGGACATGACCATCGCCTTGAACCAGGCGATCACCAACCAGCTGAACGACATCATGGCCAAGTCCGACGCGGCCAAGAACCTCCTCGATCTTGTTTCAGTCGACCGCTGGCCCCGTTCGAGCGTCGAGATTCCAGGCAAAAAGGCCAGCATGCAGAGGTACCCCGACGGCATCTGGGCCATCGAGCCGGCCACTGAGTCCCCCTCCTCCGATCGTATGGCCTGCTTCATCTTCGAGATGTGCTTCATGCCGGGATCCGCTGCCGCAGAGGGCAAGGTTCTGGAGGTCATGCTGAAGAGGCATGGATGTCCCGGAATGGCGCTGATCATCAACATGCGCCACACCAACCCCGAGATGCGGCTCAACCCTCCGGCGGACATGAACAGCAAAGCTTCGTATGCACTCTACGAGTGGATTGCGGTTGAGGACGAGGACGGATCGGTTGAGGGCCGCGTCGTTCGCGTCGGCATGCCGCGGGCGTTCCGCAACAGCAGCGGTGGTCTTGTCCCTGGGAAGCTGTCGTTCACCGTCGCAGACTTCCTTGGTAGAGCTGTTGAAGATCACATTCCGAGTATGGATGATGAGGCGTTCTGGAGTGTGCTTGAGGAGACTATTGAGATTGACCATTCGGACATGCTCAAATGGCTGGAGCAGGCTGAGAGCTGGGAGCTCAAGCTCGCGCAGGACCCCGCCATGGGCGGGACTATCAAGAAGAAGGATAGGAAGCCAGTGGAGATTCCTTCTGAAAACACCAATGAGAGCCCCTTTGATAGCGGCGACCTCTTGAGGAGGATTCGAGAGATCCGTTCAAATCTTGGGTTGGAGCCTTGGAAGGGACCGGACGCTGTCCTTGAGGAGGAGAGCGAGGAGGCTGATGCGGATAGTGTCTCGACATGAGCACCGTGGGAGGGGATGATGTTGCTTCAAGTGTGGTACAGGCTGGCAGCTGCACTGATCAGAAGGGTATTCCTGCTTGAAAACTTTTGACGATAATAGCTTACGGCTGATCAAAGTCTTGTACAGTTCAAACACTTGAAGGGGAAAAGGAATGGATAGGGAGGATAGAAGATTGCCTCCATTCACTCCACGGAGACTTGATAACTATTGTAGTACAATCCATATCAAGCCAACAAATATTGCACGGACGAGAGTGAAATTCTTTTGATGTGATACTACAAGCTGATGGCCTCGAATATACATTTGACCTGGAAAACGCTCATGCCAACAGAAGGTATTTTTCTGCTTGTACAGGAACGCAGCCAAGTACTGGCAAATTGAAGAAGAAGTTCTTACTTTTTAAACCGTTTTTTTCGCTTTTGTGTTGCTGAAGTCGTGATATGCTGGTTTGTGAATGGAGAGCCGAGACCTCTCGACTCACAGTGTGATTGGTTCCTTCTTTTCCTGGTTACTCCAGGTCAGTAGTGAATGAACAGTAGCTTAAAGTTACGGTCGCATGACGCAAATATCTGACGCGCAAAATGGCTCGAAACTTCTTCACCAGCGCGCAAACCCGCAACATCCAACAACAACAATGGATCCCTCAACCACCGTCGACCCTGGCAGACTCAAGCACCCGGAGGCCATCTATGACAAGATCCTCCGCCGAAGCAATGGGGACAGGGACGCGGTTCCTGTCCAGGGTGTCACTCGGATCTACAAGGACCAGTTCGAGCATTTGATGGGCCTCATCAAATCGAACGACAAGCTCTACCGCTCCGTCGCCCGCCACGTCAAGTTCAGTTTCGCGCGCAACAAGCTCTTCTACAGCTTTCCCGATCTTGTTCACCGTCTCTTCGCCGGGCTCCTGCGCAGCATGATCGACACCAAGATTGCCGAGGTGGCGGAGCGTTACGCCCGCCGCGACGCCGATGGCAACGTGCTCAAGAACGTTGCCAGCGCCATCACACAGGTTCGCGCCATTGACATCGATGGGATTGACGCAGACGGCGTTTGGGAGTTCAACTGGGGCTCCGGCGCCCAAGCCAAGAGGCTTTGCTTTGCGCTGGACGCCGCCCATGCGGTGGATTACAACGTCGCGGAGCGCAGGATGATGAGACTCATGGCAGCGAATAAGGGACGTCCTGGCATGGCTATCCTTGTGCGCATGAGCAATAGCCGCATGGAGCTCGATCATACCAAGAGCGAGCACAAGAGGGCGGACTACACCATCCTTAAGGTTACCCAGCAGAACTTAGATTTGGGAAAGAAGCCCTATGTCTTCATCTCGAGCCGGACGCGCGTCAAATTCCGCCATAAGAACGGCAAGGAGCGCCACGGTGAATTGCGGATTCCCATCAGGGACATGATCGGGTCGAGGCACACCGTCAGGGACCTGATCTGGTCGAGCCACGTGCGCTTCGTCAACGAGGACGATCCGGTCACGGTGGCAATTCTGGAGGAGGACATCGTCATCACGCATCACGAGCTCTGGATGAGCTTGGAAATGGCAGAGAATGCGCATGCGCGCAAGCTTCGCGCGTTGAACCAAGCCTCGTAAAGCGCATCTGAGATAAAGGGTGATGGGGGATATGAATGGATTAGGAAACGTGGCACGACATAGCGTTTGTACTTTATAGCAATAAGAAAAGGCATATTTGAGGAGTGAGGTCTTTATCTCGAATGTAGATCTCAAGAAGTTCGTAGTATCCGGTCGCAAATCACGGATTCAGCCACCCTTATTCGCATCCCACAAGCACACGTGCCCGTGCCTGTTCAGCGGAAGCTCGAGCTCTCTGCCGCAGCGCCGACTACGACAGCGCCCGCCACTGGTTCAACATCAGTATCCCTTCCTCAACCTCTATCAGAACTGCACCAGAGCATGTAAGCTGCTTCTCGTTCCCATCTTTACCAACTCACATCGCCTGCGTGCCATCCCGCCAACTTACCATCGTTGCTGCCACAAAATTGCCCGCAACGCGTACTCGCACAACTCAACCCTCCGCTTCCTTTCTGGCACATCCACCATACCGACCTGCCCTACGCTCGGTCCGGGCTGTCTGTCCGCACCTCTCCGCTCCGCGTCGCTGCAGTGCCGCGAATTCGGCCTTATTTCTCTACAGAACCACCTTATCGGCAGGACGACGCGTGTTTATGTGTCTCGACGATGACATGCGGATACTGCTCGTCCTTGGGCTGCGGGTATCGGGTGGTGGGGCATGTGAGGTAGAGGATCGTCGTTGCAGGGCTGTGAATGGACATGGAGCGCCTGGGTGGGAGGACGCGCTGGTTTTGAACAATGACGCTGTTGGGAGGTGGCAGCGAGGTGGAGGGAAATATTGAGGGGGAGGGGCTATGCACTGCTCGAAGAGAGGGCATTTGCGCCGGTCTGGGCGGAGAAGTCCATGTACCATGAAGATACCGCAGTCGAAAGATATATCCTGATAAAAATGTAGACTTCAGCAAAGTTGTCTCGTCGGTAGTGGAAGAAGACATGCTGATACAAACGTGAATGGTAGCGGCCCTGTTTCAACAGTAGATGAAGAGAATATACGGATGCAGACGAGAGTGTTAAAGCTATCGAAATCCATTAGGATAAATGATTCCACTACCAGTGATCTGCGACCATTTTTCACTTGACACCATCACTCCCAAATTCCAAACATCAGCCTCAGCGCAGCAAGGACTATAGTATATCATGTCAGTAGTCCGTCGAAAAAGCATGTTACCATCACACTCATGTCTTAGCTGTGAGCAGGCGTGAACAACTACAAGTCCGCGTGTGGGCGCCGAGCGCCATATTGGGACGTCCATTCTAAGTGACTCAGCAGGTCATATCACTAACACAATGTGAAAAGAGAATCTATACTTGCCGAATCGGGTTGTCCGCCCGCAGCCTGTGTGAGGGCGCACCTACAAAACCCCAGCTCTTTGCGGTTCCACCTCCTCCCAACAACAACACCCTCACCACCCACTCGCAGAGCTTCTACCTCTTTCAACATCATGTCTGGAAACCTCCTTGCGGTCATGGACCTCCCTCAAAACTCCCGTGACGTCGTCGAAGTCCTGCGCACCGTTCAGGACAACCTCACTGGCTTCGTCGAAGCCGAGAGCTGGCAAACGTTCAACCTCACCTGCGACGAGTACACCAGCCTCTGCACCTACCTCCGCCGCAGCGACAACACCGACCTCTTCGACACCTGGAACAGCATTCGGTAAGCCCGCCTTCCCATCCCCCACCTCACCTCACGTGCACGCTCACTAACACACGCGCACCACCAGCTCCGACTACATCCTCCTCACCTCCCACCTCACGCTCCGCCTCCCCTCCGTCCCGCAAGTCCTCTTCACCGCCGCGCTCCAAGACCACATCAGCACCGCGCTCTTCCACCTCGCCATCGAATCCCCCTCCAACTGGTTCCTCGGGCGCATCACCTCCATCAACGCCGAGCGCGACGATAGCGCCGCCTCCATCGTCTTCAACTCGCACCACCCCGACCTCACCTACCACTTCTCCACCACCCCCCGCGGCAACTCCGCCCGGCCCACCAACGCCCGCAGCACCCCGACGCAGCCGACCCTCATCGTCGAGATCTGCAACGACGTCAAGCACGCGGACCTGGAGGCGCGGCTGGCGGCCCGCTACATGGCCGCCGGCAACAAGGCGACGCGCACCGTCGTCGCGCTCGACACGACGCGCGGAGTCTACAGCGTGTGGCGGTACCTGCGCTTCCTGCCGACGCGCGTCGACGGGAGGGAGTTTCGTCGCTGCTTTCTTACTGAGAAGGAGGTGCCGTGGCGCGGGGTCCGCGGCGAAGAGGGGAAGGGTTTGGAGTTGAAGTTGCGGGACTTTTTGCCGACGGATATGCCAGCGATCCGGGGGGTGAAGGAGGAGGTGGTGGATGGGTTGATGCGCAGGTCGATTGTGGTGGATTGCGAGAAGTTGACGGGGTTGTGGGAGAAGGCGAACGATCCGGAGACGGTCGACATCTTTGGGGGTGGGGATATTGGAAGTATGGATATGGAGATTTCGGAGACGGAGGCTGATGGGGATGATGAGGCTGATGAGGAGGATGAGGAGGATGAGGCTGGAGAGGAGGATGACGAGGACGATGACTTGAGTATGGAGGAGCTGATGGACGACCTCTTCGAGGAGGTGGAGACGCGCACCCAGGGTGCCGTTGCGCAGGGTGGAGCTACGAGCTTCGACAACTGGGTGGGACATGAGCCTGAAGATGCGGAGGAGGAGCTCGAGGACTACGATGACAGTGAGGAGAGCGAGGACGAGTGAGTTTTGGGTTCTGGCTCGGCCGGTTTGGACGGAGTTTGGGTACTTTTGGATCTCTTAGCGGTGGGTTCGTAGTGCTTAGTGCCAGCATTGGACATGTCCTTTGGAATGAGCTGTTGGAGTTGGGACTTTGGCATTCATAGATCAAAAATCACCTCACGTTGCAACACATTGTTCACATGTGGGCGTGACTACCAGCCAACAACACCAAGCTTGCTGGTTGTGTAGACACAGCACTGTCAGCGTCACTACAAGCTACCGTGACTGGAGATTTTCTCATGCCATTTTTGGCGCCGTTGTCTCCAGTAAAGCATGTCAGTGGGTGTTTTTGACCTGATACTTATTCGCGTGGATTTCATTTTCTGTACTCATTGCGCCTCACTACAGAAATTGCCTGGCCACTTCTATAACACAAGCACTGTAATATCATTTGTGGCGGTATGAAGTATCCCGGCTGCGCCTAATACCCCGTTCTCGCGAGTTGCGCTCAGCACGTGATGGTTTCACTAACTCCGTTGTCGCACACATACCTCGAGCCCCGGCGCCTTCCCACCGTTCATCCTCAGACAACCTCTCCAGCACAACCATGGATCAACCTTACGCACACTCCAGACGCAAGGCCAGGCCAACCAACATTCCCGACTGGGCAGACAACAACTTCATGCGGATGTTCAACCGCCTTTGGCTGCCATCCCAGGCCGACGACCTCCAGCACCCGCAGAAAACCATCATCAAGCGCGCCCTCGAGGGCTTCGCCACCGCATCCAAGATCGCCACACACAGCTACCCCCTCCCCAACGCCTTCATCCCCCTCTGGATGCCCTGGGACAGCTACCTCCTCCTCCAGCACAAGATGGCAGACCCCCGCAACGACCCAGCCCTCCACCACATGCTCACCCAAGACCTCTCGTTCGTCCGCCCCCCTCTCCTCCCCACGCCAAACGCCAGCCAGCTAACCGCAACCGCCTCGTCCCCCCCACCACAGCCACGACTACCACCGCCCAACCCAACTCCTCACCCTCCACAACGCCACCCCCCTCGAAACCATCGCCACCCGCGCCCTCACCCACGCCCTCTTCGACGCCCTCAACCCCTTCTGCCTCGCCACCGGCGCCACCGGCCTCCCCGCCCGCCTCTTCGCCGGCGCCCGCCGCCCCATCATCCGCGACGCCCGCCACAACGCCCGGCTGCGCCTGCTCGCCGGCTCGAGCACCTGCCCCGTTCACGACTATCCAGACGCGTGGTCGCTGTTCCGCATGCCGGCGCTGGGGGTGTCGTATGTGGGGCCGTACCGCAACGAGTGGTATCCAGACGTGGTGGTGGAGGTGGCGGCGGCGGGCGGGGAGAAGGCGGAGGAGATGGCCGAGCGCGCGCGGTGGTATCTCGAGTGCGGTCGCGGGGAGACGCGGGTGGTGGTGGGGTTCGTGTGCGGGGGGGAGGGGTCGAGGTGGGGGCTGAGGGTGTGGAGGGCGCGGGGCGGCGGCGGCGGCGGCGTGGTGGAGGATGAGGAGGAGGGGATAGGGTTGGTGAGGGATCGGGAGGGCGGTGTGGGGTTGGCGTCTGCGTTGCGGGAATTGCTGCCGCCGAGGGCGGTGGAGGCGATTGCGGAGTCGGATTGTGGGGCGACGCGGGCGATGCTGGATAGGAGGGTGGAGATTACTTGGGCGGCGATTATGAAGGGGTTTGAGGCGTGGGAGGAGGTGAGGGAGAGGGAGCGGGAAAGAGTGGATGGGGAGAGGGAGAGGTTGTTGGTGGAGCAAATGGAAATGGAGGCGGAGAGAATTTGGGACGAAGATGCAGGTTATGAAGACCGTTGAGGATTTGAGCTTTAATCTGGACTTTGAGTCGGACCAGCATCTTGGCCTTATGGCACTAATGTAGGAGAATCGAATGGTATGATTTCCCTGGCGCGCACAGATTCTATCGAATCTGATTTCCCTGTGGTATCGTATTGATCTGGATTATGTAAATTGGGAAAAATCAATCCGGACTAAAAGTCGATGAGTAGCCGTAGGGGTGTCTCTCGAAATAATCGGGGGTCATGCTTCCATCATTGATGATGATTGACGCTCACATTGCCAGCCTAGCAACCAATTATTGAGCATTCATTCCCATGCAGGCTCCACGCCGCTCTACTGCACTAGCTTGACCTGGTTCAATCCCCTAACCATGTCATCACATGTTTGCAAGACACGGATGGTCCGCAAAACGTCCTTTCTCCCTGAGCTTGCTACTTTTTAACACTACGCCTCATGTTGGCTTCCAACCTCCCTTCCGTTACGCACACTTCCCGAAACAGGCCCCGCGTTGTTGCCTACTTGATTTTGCCTCCATAATCCAAAGCGTCATCAAGCCCCAAAGCTCGGTCCGTATCGATTCAGCAATCGTCAAGGAGAGCCGTGGGCGTCGTCTCCACTGTGTTACATTCCTCCTCTTCGACATATTCAATCGCTCACATCAATGCAGTTCTCTTCAGCTACCGTACGCTGGGTGACGACAACGTCCGCGTAGAAGTTGAGCTTTCTGCCAGAAAGTGTTTGAGATTCTTCTGCCTCGAATGGCGTAAGAGCACGATGAGCAGTCTGTCGGTCATCCCGGCTCAATCTCTCAGGACCGGGACCCCTCTACCTCGTCCTTTAAAGGGTTGCGAATCATTTCCTGCATATGAAACGATCTTCCATGGGATAGAATGTCAAGGGCTAGGAGGCTCAACGCGAACAGTGAAATCGTGGATGTTCGTGCGTCGACTATTATTTCTCTGTTTATTTTGCAACAGGGGTTCAACGGAAGTACTTCTGGACGGGGAAGTCAAGTTGGCCAACGAAATGAATGCAAACAGACGTAAAAGTGAGCCATCGTTTCATTCATGGGGTATGCAAAGACTATTATTTTCTTTATCCATCTTTACACACTTGTTCAGCCCCTTTGTCAAGCCAACTGATACCGGTATGGTAGATAAATAAATCCACATCGGATGATAGAAGGTCTAAAGGTGAAAATGATGGTGTAGTCCCTTCTGGTGCCGTCTATTCCTCGAAAACTCACGTCTCACATCGTAGTCACAAAGTATCAATAGCGATGAGTCGAGGAGCTGGGCTACAGCAGCTGTATTAGACTGAAATCTCTGTACATAGCTCTTCTTAAACATATACAGTGTTCTTCGGTCTTACGCAAGGGAGAAAGCGAGCTACTACATGTATCTGACGATTAGATTATAAAAGCCAGCAAAGAACAATACCATAAACACTCCCCGATTCCTTAATACAAATCACAGCACACGTTTAGAAATGTTCATCCAGTCTTAAGTAGAAAGTTGATTTTCCCCTTATGAATATTCGTTATGAGTCCATCAGGCGGCACCGCTCGTCTGAGCCATAATTTCGCCCTCATCGACGTCTCTAACCAGCCAACGAGCCCACTTCAGCATCTATCGTAGACGCGGATGATCAAAGTATCAACCATGCGGCACTCACGCCTAGCCGTGCTCCCTCACACCTCGCCGCGCTCCCTCACACCACCCGGTCCCCACCCAGCCAACAGCACGCCACCCCCCAGTCAACGCGTTCGCCAAAACCCACAACCCGCGCCCAGCCGCCTCGCCTCCCGCCCGCCGCTCGCATCGCCGCGCGCAACATGGCCGCCCACCGCACCGCAACCAACCCGCCGCGTCACTTATGCCCGCACCGCATCGCGCATCGCTCTCCCGCCGTCCGCTCGCCACTCTGGCCGCCCACCGCAGCGCAGCCTATGCGCAAAAAAACTTCTGCTGCTCGCCATCGTGCCCCGCCGCCTCTGCTCGCCGGGCATATAGCCGCGCGTAACATGGCCGCCCACCATACCGCAACCCACCCGCCGCGGCACTTACGCCCACACCGCAGCGCACCGCGTACCTGCCGCTTCCGTTCGTTTGCCACTCTGGCCACCCATCCCACCGCTGACCACTCCCAACAGAACTTCTGCTGCCTCATGACGTCACCAGGTACCTACTTGTCTGTCGCGGTGTCGCCCGGCGCGCGGGCCAATGATCGCGCCCTGCCGCCGCAGACTGACTGACTAACTGACCCTGCCTAACGCGCCGCGCCGCGCACGTTGGCGCAGCTTCTCGGACTGCGGCGGGGATGGGAGAGACGGATTGCTGTATGGGGCAAATGCAAGAAATTTTTTTTTTCCGCCAGGCAAAGAAGGCGTGGCGCGTGGACCTGGCGAACCGCGTTGACTTGACTGGGAGTTGCGGCGCAAGCAGCCAAGGACCTCACAGAAGGAGCGAGCCCGCAGCTAGGTGATTTTTAGAGCCTGGATTGGGCACCCGGCCAGCGCGCGCGCCTGCTGTGTGGGCGGGCGGGCTGTCGAGCTGGCGGGCTGCTCCGGCGGCGCGCGGCGGGAGGGCGACGCAGACGCGGCTTGGCTTGTTCGCGGCCAGTTCGCGCGGCGCGGCGGGAGATGGGAAACGAAAAAAAAAAAGCTTAATTTCTTCTGCTGTCGCGGATGGCGTCATTCGCGCCGGAGAGAGGCTGGATGGACGATTTGGCGCCCCCGCCGATGGAGAGAGATACTTGGAGGCGCGGAAACAGCGCTTCATTGCCTCTCCCGAAACGTCACCATGGAGCGAATTATTGTGAGAGATGATTGTCAGATTCGTACCATATCCACACCTCCTCTGACGACCTCGCTGCTTGGAAATATCCACAGTACCTACGCTGACCGCGCGCACCCACGCAGCAGCGCCGCTCCCACTCTCCTCCCGCCGTCCCTCCCGTTCCACCCCAGCACAGCCTACCCACCACCTCCCTACGACCTCGGCACCATAATCCGATCCACATCCGGCCCCCACCCGCCCTCCGCCACGCCCTCGATCACGACCTCATTCCCGCTGCCCCCCTCCAACTGCACATGCACGACGCTGCTCCCGACCGTCCCCTGCACCGTCGGCAAAAACGCCACCGTCTGCCCCGCGCCCCCATTCACCACCACGCTCGCATACCGCGCCGCCGCGTCCAGATTCTGATACTTGACCCGCACCGTCGTCTTGCCCTCCGCCGCATCCACCGCGATCGCCGAAAACGTCACCGACCCCCCCGGGGCACTCGTCCCGCCAATATACCCCGCCGCCTGCCCGCCGCTGCATCCGGCGCACGACACGACTTGCGCGCCGCCCGCCAGCGTCGCGGCTTCGCCTTCGGGCTGCGACTCGCCGGGGCCGGGGGAGGTGGTGCCGGCGCCGACGTCGGGGATCCAGTTGACGCTGTCGGACATGGAGGCGGTGGCGGCGGAGCCGTCGAGCGAGAGGGGCAGCCAGACGTAGGTGCTGCGGAAGAGGGCGGAGGACACCCAGCGGTCGCCGAGGTAGACGTACGCGGTGCCGGACGTGCCGGTGAGGGGGAGGACGAAGGTGGTTTGCGAGGAGTAGGTTTTGGAGCCTGCGGGGGCGAAGGTGCGCCAGCTGGTCCAGGGGCCGGAGAGGGAGGTGGCGGTGGTGTAGTACTGTGGATGGGGGAGTTAGTTGAGTTGTGGGAGGGGGGATGATGCGTGGAGGGATGGGCTTACGTTGTCGTTGGGGTCCCAGCCTGAGAGCTGGGAGGCGAAGAGGAAGTAGGTCCCGTTGGCTTTGACCACGGCGGGCGCTTCGTATTTTTCGTCGAAGCGGTAGACGGACGAGTCGCCCGTGACGTTGAGGTAGTCCGAGGTCAGGGCGTTGATGCGGAGGCCGTTTTCGCGCTGGAGGCGGTGGGAGGTTAGCGGATTGCACCGAGGCGCCCTCGTGAGGACGTTGTAGGGTGGGAATTTCGTGGAGAAGAGCCCGAGTTGCCGCGTCTTTCGGGGGCAACCGTCCAGCTGATCATCCGGCGTCCAAAAGCATGTACATAAAAATGAGAGGGAGAATTGAGAGAAGTAGGCACGAGAAAGGCCAGAGTGCAGTAGAAAGCCCTGACCCGACACCTGGCTGTTGTAATACGAAAGACGTCCACGGAACTTGTTTGAAATAATGAAATTTTGTGAGGAAAAGGATGGATTTGATCATCAAGAAAAATGGGTGTTCGTCACCATCGAGTCTACATAAGGAAACGCAAAAAGCAAAAAAACTCACGTCTTCCGTCAGCAAATACGCCGAGCCGTCATCGTCCTTGAATAAGCCCATGTCTCTGCTCTGAAAACCCAGCGGCTGGAAGCTCCCCTGATACTCGTAGGATCCGCAAACGGTATCACCAGTCGCCACACCCGTCTTCGCCTCCTTGTAATCGGACGAGTCGATATGCATCCACAGCACGTACTTGCTTGTCTCGTCATTGTAAATGACCTTGGGGCGCTCGACCACGCGGCTGGGACCGAGGTCGCCAGAGGCCTCCTGTGAGAGCAGAGCGCCTTCGTAGGTCCATTCGACAAGGTTGGTGGACGAGTAGCAGTTGACGTTCAGGAAGGCGGTGCCGTTCGTCTTGTCCTCGCCAATCAGGTAGTATGTGTCGTCGACTTTGATGATGCCGGCGCCGTGGGCTTGAATGTGCTCGCCCGTGTTTGTTGCCGTCCAGGTGGCGCCTGGAATGACCTGCAGCGACGCAAAGGCCGACGATGAGACCAGCGCGAGGCTCACAAGAGAAGGGGTACGCATGACGAAGGCGGACGATGGGGAAGCAGGAGCGAAGGACAGCGGCGAAGGAAAAAAAAGCAGGGCCGCAGAGGGCTGATTTATTCACGCGGGAGTTTCGTGCCGACGGAACTGAAACGCGGTGGGGTGATGTGGAAGTGGTGTTCCCGCGCCAATGAGAGGCTGATTCCCCTCCGGTGGGTTGTCCGAGCGGTCCGGGCGGCGGGCGGAAGCCAGGGTCAGTGGCGCGAAACAGGAAACAGGGCGGGCTCGGATGTGGAAAGTTGCGGAGAATGCTACTCCGCAAGGGGCGGGTCCCTCGTGTTCATGCCAGCGGCTGATTGGACAGCTTTCGCATGGGTTGGTTGACGGCGCCCTTCTCCGGCGCTAAACTTTGTGCCAACGACGGCACTCAGTAAAACTCTCCCTGTCGGCCCTGAGCAAACATCTCCTTCCACCAAAGCCGCCAATGGGCCTTCCTCTCGCTTTCGTGGAGAAGCTCTTGCCTCAATTCATTCCACGGGTCGGCGCCCCTGGCAATCTTTGCCCAGCAGTCGGCCCAGATGCTGCCAAACGTCGTGTTTTTCGGTGACCAGATCAACTCCACGCTGACGTTTTGGGAGACCAGCTCCTCAGCCGCCACGTTGAGGCGGCGCAGAGGGAACTCGGCTCCACAAAAGGCGCGGTGCTTGCGCAACGGCTTTGTCGGGTTTTCGATAAACTTCAGCGCGTTGTCCGAGTCGGTGATCAGGGTGATTTTCGTCATGTTGGGGCCGGCAGTCTCGACCCACGGGTTGGAGTGGGCTCCGATGCGGTAGCCTCGCTCGTCTGCCTTCGGGCTGATGCCCTTGTGGATGGACGTCGCCACGTTCGCGATCGCGCACCTCACCGCCTCGAATTCCATGCGGTCGGTTTTCCAAGTCCCGCGGAGGAGGACATCCGTCATGTCTTGCGTCTTCTCCATCCAGTCCATCCTCCCGGTGGTCCGGTTCTGCTCCTGCCATCCCACCGCAATGCCCACCTTGGCATACCACTTCTCCGTCATCGTGTTGGTCTCGATGTTCCACTCCATCCGGCTGAACGGCATTTGGGAGCCGTCTGTGTAGAGGATGAGGCGGCGCGGGTTCTGTTGCTGGATCATCTCTCGGACTGCGCCAGCGCGCTCGGACTTGGACTCCCGGGTGGCGTGCCTCAAGCGGCCAGGGATGCCGCTGATGGTGCCGGGAAATTTGCCGTGGTCGATTGTCAGCCCGAGGGCGTCCGCCAGGTTCACTTGTGGGCTCTCCATGGCTGGGGTGTGGTGTTGCAGCGACCGTGTGCGGCCGGGCGTGCTGCAACACCACCCCCCATTGCGCCCACTGTGCCCCCGGGCCGACATATTCCCCGGCCGAGTGTCGACGCCGATGCGCCGACACGTGCGAGGGTGGGCTGTCCATACCGTCCCCTGGTTGGTGTCCTCTGAGCAAGCAGAGGACTGGTGGTCCACCAGCCATCTCAAGCCTCCCAGCAACATCGCCTCCCCGGAGGGGAGCGCGCTTGCCATCTCGAACCTAGCAGTCATCTTCTTCCATACGATTGTTTCTTCACCTGTGTACAATCCACAGTCCGTGGCGATAGCGCCCGGGTCCTGGGGTTCGCGATTGAAACTCGCCGATTGCAATCGAAGGAAAGTTTCCATCGCCATGAGGCTGCCGCAAGGTGCACCGTGGCTGGGCTGGGTCAAACTGACGGCACGGGAGGCGCCTGGGATGGTCGCAGGGCTGAATGAAAATTTTACTGCCGCAGGCATGCTCCGAGCAATGTGACTGATCCTGATGCAGCTGTCGTAGATGGTGAGATGTCCATGCATCAAGTGGTTGAAGATCTTGTCGATGTAGGTGAACCCTGCATCAGAATGTCAGTCGGCAAGTACTGTTGGTGGAGAACCAAGACTCCATTGCTTATAGGAGGCTGGACGGAAGACAGGTGATGAGATTGTAGGACATTACCTGCAGAATACTTCGGATAAGTGTCGAGACGACCATACGTGTCACTCTCTTCACTGTCGTCTGCGGCAAGATTGTCAAGAAAGGTGACAGTGAGGGACCAGAGCGGGCGGATGCTCTCAGACAAAGCGGGCCTAGGCGTCGTAGCCACGAAACTGGCATGCACGTCGATGTTCCGAGTGAGGTGCGGGTCAGGTTGCCGTCTCAACACTTTGACACGCAAAACGATGGATGCCATCGCGTGTCTGTTACCGTTCTGAGCTTGCACAGGTGGATCGGGCATCGCCAGGACCGCAGTCTCATGGGTCTCATCCCGCCTGCCGGCGATCGTTAGTGAAGGGCGACGCTGCCCGCCAGTGACGAGTTGGAGGACAAAGGCGATGAAGTCCTTGGTGTCCAAGTGGTCTTCACACTGTGGGGCAAGCCTGCTGGCCGCGCTGAGGTGCAGCACCGCTTGTTCAGATGGCATGTCGTCCCGTGTGTGCTTCGACATGCACGGCAATGGAAAGGAGAAGATGAAGAGGGCGTCAGTGCCAGAAGATGAAGATAATGCAAAGTGATGCATGGTGTGGCGAGGGTGTCGGGTGTGAGGCGGAGGAAGAAAGCTGACGCGCACAAAACCCCCCCGCTGATTAAGCGAGCACAGCAAAAACAAACACTGCGCACTAGCAGGTCCCATGGCCATGCTCTATTAATGACATCATGCCCTCCTAGCGAGGCAATGACCGATCTGAGATATAGAGCTACTGGGGGCCAAATCCTATCCAACGCACCGCTTGCAAGGTGCCCAAATCCGTACCAAAAACCACCCCCAGGCCTCTACTCCCCGCCCATCACCGGCTCTCCATACCCCTCCGCCCATTCCTCTTCCTCCCACACCAAGAACTCCCTCGACTCCACATACTCCTCCCCATCCCTCGCCAGCTGCCAGATATGAGACAGCCTCTCAAACGAGATCTGAATCCCATCCATCAGCCACAGCCAGTCGCGCGTCCCCTCCGGCTCCGTCTTCGTCCACTCCTCGCACCTAGCCGACAACTCGCTGAACCTGAGATCGATCTCGCCATCTCCCACATCCACATGTCCGCCCCTCGCCGTGAACGCCCTGTCCTGCACCACGCGTCTCGGCTCCCACACGGTGCCGGGCGGCCAGAAGCCGTGGATCGCCTGGGGCTGGACGTCGGGCTGCACCTCGCTGCGCCAGAGGCTGTACGTGCCGACGCGGCACTCGGCGTCCGCCTCGTCCCACAGCGTGATGCACAGGAACAGGCTGGGCCTCTCGTCGTCGCCCAGCAGGTAGTCGCGGGCGAGCGCCTCCTCGTCGGCGTGCATGCCCGCGTCGCCGACCTCGATGATGAGCGGGTAGAACGGCCGGCCCATCTGCCGCTGCGTGTGGTCGTAGACGACGATGCTGGGCGTGCGCACCGAGAAGATCCAGTGGCCGTCCGTGGTCCAGTGCGAGTCGACGCCGTTGGCGATGTGGCGCAGGGGGAAGTCGTCGCGCGGGTTGTACGAGGCGATGCGGTGCTCGTAGCCCGGTTGGCGGTGCATGGCCATGCGGAGTTGTTCTTCGAGGGTGTTGTTGAGGAAGCAGACGAAGCGCGTCTGGGTCTCGGACGGGTAGCGGACCGTGATGGTGCGTTCGACGATGCTGTAGTCGAAACTGGTGAGGTGGTTAGTTGCTGTTGTCGGAGCGTGGGCTGGGGGTTGTCAAACTCACGAGAAGATTTGTACTGCGAACTCGCCGAGTACGGCCAGCTCGGAGGTGTCGAGCATGTGGAGGGTGTCTTGGAGCCAGGCCCATTGCTCCGGAGTCATGTCGTACTGATCATAGGTCCTCCGGGTGTTGAGCACTTCGTGAAGGACATTGAACAGGAAGAAGACCCCATGCTCAACCCTGTTGGACGGTTGCTGTGCTGACTGTGTGAAGAATCGGCGCACAATGCTGTGGAAAGCCACAGTGGCATTCTGTGGCAGGAGTAGACCTGGCATGGTGCTGAAGCTGTTGTTGTAAGCCGGTGTGTTGCAAGAAGAAGAAAAGGCGGTGGTAGTTGGGTCGCGATTTGCCAGTGATTGAGGGAGCAGTTTACGCGCGCGTGTTAGATCTAACTGACCTCGCTGTGTTTACCTTCAAGGCTCACATCTTCGGGTTGAATACAACTGCGCCATTCTGGATTCAACCGCCCATGCATGTTTGAGTTCCTTTCTTACACCCATAATCACTGACTGGACTTGACAGCCTTTGTCCAAGCATCATGTCTACGTCCGGATATTGAGTTGTACTTATGGCCTTTCATGAGCAGGATAGTAGATGTCCCGCTCTGGGATCCTCCCATGAGCGCGTAAACGCCCCGGTTTTAGATGGGATTCGGGACCCTGGATCAGTGCCACAGATTTCTTGACATGCTCGTCCTTCTGAACTTCTGAAACACATTGGTACTGGCCGTCCGTTCTCGACCCTTACTACGCTTGCCTCATAAATTTGCGGCCGAACGCATCAGCGCTTCGAGTTGGTCCAGAGAAAGTATCGGATTCTTATGCCATATGTGTGCGATGCAGCATTTCAAGATACCTCGTCTGTATGATATTGGCGAAGACACCCTATCAAGCTCCAGTTCCATCACTAATGCGTACCCGAATCTCTGATGCAATTGTTCTTGCCTGAATCACTCTCCGTGAAAGACCAATTTCGACCTCGCCAAACTTGTATCACACGCCCGAAGCATACCCACTCGATCCAGCCGTTATATTCGTCCCTTGTATGTCATAGCATAACGTTCAGTGCCTCAGGAGACGGCGGCGTTGCCGCGCTTCTCCACAGATTGTATTCCAGGGGCAAGTATTCGGTCCGGTGATTGACCCGTGTCTTCGAAAGTGTGGCTTTGTGATGTGTGGATGCGGATTGTTTACATACAGCTATCTCGTTAGCTGCTGTGTTAGTGTCAGAGAATGTACTGACCAGGAATTGCGAGAAGCACACAGACGCAACAACTGTGCCGTAACTCTAGCAACGTCAATTTGGAGGGTTTTTTGCTTGTGCAATGAAAGGCGCGAAAGCCATAGAGCCATGTTGCGCAATATGGTGCAGCGAACACGGCCAGTCCTTCCATGCTTGAGATCTTTGCAGGGCCTCCATCGGCCCGGATCTCTAGAGCTTGCTGTTGTCATCGTGCACACAGCTCACGGTTGTTCCTGAGCCATGCAGCCTGCGCCGTGGTGTATGAATCAGAAGAAGTATCCACCGAAGAGAACACAGGGCCATGTCATCGTGGCGACGGCATAGGAACCGCCGAACGTGGATTCTCGCGCTTCTCAGGCTTGAAAGTAGGTCTAGGGCGATGTGGCAAATTGAGAGAAGCCTAAACCTTGTTAGCTCCATGGAATTCAGACCTAAGTTGATAGTCGTGGTCCATGAGGCGGTACGGGAAAGTTCTTGTCTTCAGCAATGAACGCAGCGCTGGTATGCCTGCTCAGTGGGTTTCCGATGGCATTGTCCTGTTTCTGGTGAGGTCGATCCGCGCGCGACCCTGGAGGTGAGTCGGACACGTCTTTGAAGTTCCCAAGTAGTTGGCGATGTTCGAGGCTGGGAGGGCTCCAACATGTTGCCGCTCCTTCCCTCTGCGGTGACCGCGCTAGTTCTCCAGCCCACACATCGAACCTTCGCCTTTTCACCTCAACCAATCCCCTCCGCCTCTTCTCTCATCCCCTCCTTCGACCACTCCAGGATTATCCTGTTGCACATAGCTACAAAGAAAATCTCCCAAGAAAGGTTGAAGAGTGAGCAACACTCCCAAAACATCCCCCGGCACTCAATGCGGACTTCACTTACGCGTGGCATATCATAGAAATGAATCCCCAGAAGAACCCTACCTCTGCTTCAAAAGGCTCCGCCGCCCTGATGGTCACCATATTACACCCTAAGGGCACGTTTTCCGAATGGCAGGGCAAATCCTGCCAAGTGCTCTTCGGGGTGGAATTTCTCGGTCAGCGATGCTCGTGCCCTTTTCAGGACTGCTGATGGTCCTACACAAGGTCACTGATGTAAGTAGGCCTGGAAAAGCTCATTTGGCCCATCCGATTACTGACAGGAGCGCTTCGCTCAAAGGATATCGACTCCCTCCACCCCGCCGGCACCCTCCTGAACGGGAATGATGGGCCAGTCCTCCGACCTGACCACCAGCGCCGATGGAATGACATGAGAAGTTGGAGATACCGGGATACTACAAGCAATAGGGCCACTGCATGTCTTTCTACTTGCCCGAACGTGCATCTGTTTGGCAACAGTGACGCTACGCCAAACGCCGAGCCTGCTTCCCTCATCCCAGTCGAGCCGCCGCCAGGACGCTCTCGTACACACGGTACTCTCTATTCAAGGTCTAGTAAGCTCACGGCTAGTGATCCCACCGGTACCAACCACCGGCAAGGCACTCTCCCACGAACGCCCTCCTGTGCTGGAGCTCATACACCCAATTCATGACTCCGCTGCCACAACACGAAAGGAAATCATGATTTGGAGTGATATTACCTAGAATTCCGGCAATGAATGGGCTGTGTGAAGGAAAGGGGACCGATGGAGACTCTGAATTGGAACCTGGAGACACGTAGTGCGAGAATTCAGAAATCATGAATCGTACATGGATGATAAAAACTGCACCTGAATGAATTTCTCGCTTTCTTTGTGCGTTCTGATCGACGTAGCTAGACAGCTGTGGGCAGGCAGTGCTACGCGCCTCATAGCCAGAAGGTCAAATGACTACTGCGTAGATGACGCTCTATGTCCTCGTTGTATATTCGATCTCGCACCCTGAGCGTAGCCCAGTGTGGGCGGAACCTGAAGGGCCCGAAAGCCATCACTCGACCCGTTGCCCAACGTGCGGCTGAGGCTCGATCGCTGCTGCCAGATCAGTGCTGCCTTCCCGAACTGGCTGTCTGCTACTTGTGCGCCCAACGTGCCAGCCGCTGCTGCCTAACCGCCCTCTTTCTATCTCTGCTCCAATACTCACTTACCGGTAGTAAACTACCGCACCCTCTTGTTTCATCCACATGCCCATCCAGCCTCAAGGCCTTCCAGCCACCTCATTCAACCTGGTGCTCCGACGTGGGTATCGTCCCCTCCTTTCATCCAGCGTGCTGAACAGAAGCTGACAGTCATGACAGCAGGCCCACCGGCGGCGTTTGCCTGCCTGTCCTCTTGAGCGAGCGCCGCTCGTTCAACGGCCATGCGCCTCCTCAGTATCCTGAGCCGGCCGGTCGATATTCCTACCGCTTCATTTCTACGACACTTGTGAGTCTCATCATCTTCCCTTGCTTGCATATGAGCTCACCACCGCCTGAGCCCCAGCAAGAACCATCATACCTAAACATGACTACCCCATCATCTTTACCAAAATCCTACTGAGGTCTGCCACGCTCCTTCCAGGATACGTAGTGATGATGATCTCACCTTAGAACCGCAGCAGTAGTATCAAGCACTTTTTCTGCCGCCGCCGGGCCCGCTCATTGCTCTCCGTCAATTTCAGCATATGTGAGTGCTTTCCCGCATCCCACTCAGTGATCTCTGCAGACACCCGCTCACGCGCTCACTCCAGATCAATACGGCCGACTGGGTGCCCCGACCGCCGTCCGTATTCCTATTGCAACATATTTACATCAACATTTCCGCCCTCCCGCATCTCTACCATCGATACGTTGACATTCTTTCTCGACAACTTCACCTCCATTCATACCCAAGACGAAAGGTCGGCTTGAGAGATGTATCGGCTCCTCGTGAGCCAACAGAGGCGTCGGATAATCAACACCAGAATGGAATCGGGGGAAGAGATTGGACGGGATGGCCAGGCCTTCAGTCTCTTCAGGCATGTCGACGAGCTATTCACTGGCCCCTCAAGCATCAAGGAGCTTTCACTAACATACAAGCAGGGAAGGAGGGTATCTCGAGAGCCACTATTGTGGCGGGGGTGGCGCCCCCATATTCTCGGGTCTCTTGGGCCTGCCAAGCGGGACAATGAGATTCCTTCTGGACAATCCGGAGCTGAGGATGACAACCGACTAGCTGCTGCTCGGCCCGGACGAGCGAGGCAGTCGAGTCTCTAGCACGCCGAACAGCTGCTGGTCTCTGTGAGGAAGATGGAAGAGTGGTACGCCGCTCTTTGAAAGTTTGAAGTTTGAAGCTGAGTGCGACATCCAACCAGATGAGACTCGGGGCAGACGGGCAGAGGAGCAGCCAATCCCTCTCTCCAGAACTTCGAAGGGCCCCTGGGTCCTTGTCGCAAAAGGTGGAAGAGTGGTACCTGGGCTAGATCGAGGGAGGTATCGTCTGCTTTCATTGCTTGCATTCTCATCCATAGCACCCAAATACATCCGGTCCTTGACCACCTTCATCTTCCAGAAATTATCCACATACATTGCCTGTGACACGCGACCCACTACCAGCTCCTGCCCACTGCAAACTCAAAACCCCACTTCCGTGATTCCAGTCCTTCTTCCCGACTGCCAAAAAACATGTATGGCATGCGCAGTTCCCCATATCGCACCTGTCTATTGCACCCAAAGGACCTTCCGCACGGCAGACCCTCAGTCCTCCCTACCGAAACAATCACCCCAAGCATCACAGCTCACAAAAGAGCCGCAGGTTCGCAGCAGCAGCGACTGTGTTGGCACCCTGCCTTGGGAGGTGAACTACTACTCACCGGCGAGATCGAGATCAATAGCTGAGAAGTGATCCAGCCGTCGCCGGCCATGGTCGTAAAAGCCGTGAAATCCGCGCCACCAAACATCCACGTCCCGCTTGGGTGTGCGATGGTATATATGGGTATGTACAGCCATCGCCGCCTGGCGAGCGGGCTTCCTCGACTGCCGCCGGCCGTCTGGTGGGCAGTACGTTGTTACCCCTTTTGCGTGAGAGACGTCGTGAAGGTAGGCAGCTTGCGAGACGTGGCGGTACCGGAGATTTCGGGAGCCGCAGTCGGTTTCATGCCTGGGCCTACATGCGGATTGGGTGCTTGCGTGGGATGCTGGAGAGAGGGTCAGCGGGGCTGGGTCTTTGAGGAAGTGGTGGCGGGATTAGTCGGCTCAGGGATGAATCATGCTGATCGTGGTGTTGGTAATGAGTGTGGAGACACGACTTGCTGCCAATGAGGCATTAGAGGGCTTTGAGTAGGGATAGTGCTTGGGTGTGAGGTATTGCGGCAGAGAATTTGACAGCTGTGGGCTTCGTGGAGTTGTGGCTGCTCTCGCACACGCTACTTGTAGCAGGGGCTCACAAAAGGTCATTGAACACCAAGGCAAGGGGTGCTAGTTACAGGAAGTCATGATTGCTCAGCGTTTTAGAGAAGTAGGGATAGATTCGCATTGACTTCGCGGTTGTATTCAATGTCCCAGCGCGTATGATCCTTTTCCCATCGAAAAAGAGAGAAACAAAAAAAGGAAGACATGATGGAGCCGCAGGGCTACATGCCTTCAGTCCCCATTGGCCACCTCAGCCACTTTCCCACCAACCCAGCCAGTGTATCTTCCATGATGCCCAGACTCCACAGTGTAAAATCTCGTAGTTGGCCCAAGGGCCAAGACAGTTGAGCTGGCGGGCCCAACCAGGCCCACTGAGGTGGCATCGGAGCCTGGCCGAGTCCGCTGGAGGTAGCGTTTGGGTCTCAGCCAGGCTCGCAGGATAAGTCGTGGATGTGAGACCTGGTTGGGCCGCCAGTACGCGTTAAGCGGCTTGGGGTCTGGCCTGGCCCTTGTATTAGCCGCCGCCAGGACCGAGTGGACGGACTGTGCTTTCCCATCCACTCGAGGGAGGGGCCCTGGCGGCGGTGGGAGGAGGAAAACAAGGGCCAGCCAGTGATGGTGGCGGTGATGGTGGCGGTGATGGCGGCCGCCGTGTGACACTGTGGTAGGAACATCAGCTTTGACTCACAGGAGGAAGGCTCAGAACTGGAAGGCATGGTAACTTACTCGCAGGGGTTTGTGGCTCAGGGGGCCGCCGCCCAGGTCCTTTGACGGTACCGATAGGCTTCTACGACCCGGGCAGCGGCCGGGTTTTTTCATCGGGCGGTTGTCGATGAAGGCCACTGTAGATCCGAGGTCAGTAAGTTCAGGTCTGCGAGCAGAGACGGGGAGACGAAACGTACCCCAAGGGTGGCGCCTCACAGCCCCAACGCTTGCGCTGCCACTGGCAGCTGGCTGCCGCCCAGGTCCTCCTTTTCTTTGCGGACCCAGGCGGCAAGTTGAAAGAGAGCCCGACGAGGGGCGCAGGAACGATACCCCAGTTGGGGCCTGTTCAGAGACGTCAGTGAGATCGGTGACAGGAAGAGTGGCGATGACGTTATCGACTTACTGTTGGATACGCTCTGGCGCGCACGCGGGAGATGGAGAGGGGTTTCGCTGTTGTTGAGGATGGTGAAGAAGAAAGCAGAGACGAGAAAGGCGGCGGGAGCTGAAATAGCGCGCGAATCGCTGCCTGGTCACATGCGGAAGGCCCAACGGCAGTCGCGCCCAGCACGCCCTGGGCAGTCACACCTCAACGCCTATCAGGTGAGGATTAGTCCGGTCCATGCGCCAAGCCAGGTTCGTGTAGAGTATGTGCCCTTTTTGCATATGACTGCCAGATGTGGCTTCTCGGATGGCGGACGGTCTTCAGGAATTGATCAGCGGCAGCCTCCCAGGCCACGCTGCCCTCGACAACGTAGAACCCGAGGACTGTGGCATGCTTTTGGTCTTTACTGGCTTCCGACCAGTGCTGTATTTCTAGCTCAGCGCCACGTTCTACACGCCCGGTTGCTCTCGATTCATGCGCTTTCGGCCACCGTTGCAGCTCATACCTTCAGGAAGATCTGAAATACCCGTAAGCATGATGCCTTGCCTGCCCTGTCCAGGCACATTCAATATGTTGGCTGGAGCCGCATGAATGCAACTCCACACTCCTACCATTTCGCGCTTGAATGAGATCACGATTTATAAAGGTCCATCCCAGTCTCTGCAATGGCACAGAGTCTGAGAGCAAAGACAGCAAGAACTGAGGTGGCACGTTTGTATTCACTAAGAGAGCATATAACCGTAGCATCAAAGCCATGTCCTCAACTATCCTCGGTGAATCATACCACACGAACGCAGTGTAAAGCAACGCCAGCCATTGCCCGCATGGACAGCCTTTTTCAGTCCTGAAATGTCTTCGATAGCCATGTGAATGGAAGTATGCGAGACAAGCATTCTTGGAGTCCACCGTGGACTTCGATCCGTGCAAACAGTTGATCAGCGTCTTGTGAAGCTATCGAGCCAGTGGTGTAGGTCATCTTCCGCCTTTGACGCTGAAACTTCCTCTTGTGGGAGCAGCAGTGTACTCTGGGTGCTCACTTCGTGAACCAGGGGAGGATGGGCCAAATGCGCGCCGTCATCGGCGGGCCGTAGTGAGGGTCGTCGGGGCCACCAAACGGGTGCTCGGGGGTCAGGAATGGGTCGAATTCCGGCACGTCGTCGTACTGTGATTGCGTCAGCTACCCGTCGTGGCAGAGCGTGTTCATGAAGCAGCGTGGGCGCAGTGACGTTTAGTGAGGTGCCTCAGCTGGGACGGACTCAACTCACCTGGACGTCCTCGGGCTTGCTGCGGAACTCACAGACGCGCGAGCCCATACCGTCAGCGGAACGGATGCGACGGCCCCTCATGGGGCATGTAGGAAGAGGGTAGCGGATCATCTTCTGCGGCGGCTGAACCATGCAACGGCACTGGAAGCGCGTCGCGGTGAAGAAGTTGCGACTAAGGCTAGGAGACGGCATTGCGTGAGTTGCACGGATGGGCGCGTGTGGTGTGCTTGTAGAGGCCTCAAAGAAGTCGAGGTGTCTGGCGGTGCTGGAGGAATTGGTGGGGGTGTACACGAAAGTGCATGGACGATGGGATGTTTTATGGCCCAAGCTGGCTATGATGTAATTTCAAGAGTTCGCGTACCTGCAGGCGCGTGATGCGCCAGCCCTGAGTGCTGGCGGGAGCGGCGAGCTTCTGTGAGGCAGTGCCTTCCGTACGCAGCCATGTCTCCCAGCGCTTATGGCTTTCTAATCGCAGATATTCCCTCTCCCATATGCTGTCCCCCCCACACACCAACCCGACTACCACGTCACCGTGCCTCACCATCTCTTATCCATCCTCGCCAAACGCGGCACAACCCTTCTCATTCACTGAATTTGCAGAGCGGCGAAACCTCTCGAATACTCGAACTTGAGGACATACCACACGCAATGGAACAACGGCACAAGGAGAATGAGAACCGGAAGAGCTGGGAGCCAAGTTACAGCTCTGCAACGGCGCTTGGGAGTGCCATGCAATATGCTGGGAAGTCGCACAGGCCTCGAAGTCACGTACGCTAACTGTCAGGTAGCGTTATCATACTTGTTTCTCCTCATGAGGCGGTACGGCTGCGGTTAAGTATAGTCTCACCAGTGCAAGCGCTAACTGCGAGTCTCCCAGGTGCGCCATCATACGTCGTTAGCGGATGACAGGGGTGCTAACAATCACTGACTCCCATGTCGAAGATGTCCCTGCCAGCCTCTCCCCCATCATCTCGTCGCCCCGCACCCACGATAGCTCCTTCCATAACCTGCTACCCGGTAGTAACACTTTTCGGTAACTGAGAACACTCGAGGCCTCAGCGGTTGAGCGGACATCGCACATCATGCCTTGCTCGAGTCCTTGTTTCTTCCGTTTGTATATACCGTGCGCCACTGATGCGTCCAACGCCTGCGATGCTCTGATAGCACAGCAGCAGATCACATCAGTCCATATGGAAATCATTTGTCCTATCATGGTCGGTAAGATCCAGCTCAGTCCTACTTTGAGGATTTCGAAACACGCGAGAGGACATACTCGACGAGCTTGACTGACTGAAATAAGGGACTGCCTCGTAATCCCAAACGTGTACTCCTATGACGAAGTCGACAAAGATAATACGAAGAACTGGTAATAGCTAGGGCAATTGCAAAACCACCTGCCATAGCGATAATTCATACCAGAGTCTGGAAGAAGGTGTAGCCCTCGATGGGTAGTGGCACGATTGTTCACCTGGGTGTATATATGCAGCTGCGTGACCTACTCTGGAAACGCTCACGGAGCATTACATTGATGCAAAGCTGCACGAGAGGTCCTATACCTGGCTTCTGTCTCATCACTCCGCCGCAGCTACGCAAGCCGACTTCTTTGTCGCAGTGCAAGCCCGCATTCACCATTCACTGCAGTCCACCAGGTGAACAACACTTTGTTCTGCAACAATCATCATATGGGATTTTGCAAATTGACACGACGCCCTGAGAGCCACAGATCATGGTTGCTAACAGTCCTCTTTGCTCATATCGCATGGAAATCGCGCCCTACTGGCCTTCACTAGCCCTCTACTTGTTTTCCAGGGGAGCAATGGCCTTCCCTTCTACAAGTATATCAGCCGGTGTGGACTCGTGGTTGCAGCGCGTGGATGAGGAGGCGGCACCACGCAGATATGGCAGGGAAATAAGTACCGGATAAGTGGACTTGTCAGCGCATGATGTTACGATCATGAACTGCTACCGCTTTGTATGGCGACTTACGCGCTGCGACAGTCGCGGTGTTTCACTCGTCACTGTATCAGTTCTCACCTGCACGTCACACAAAGCTGCACTGGAGATGGGCTCGTGTACTTGTACTTTTCTATCTTGGTTGAAAATTAAGACCATAGCCCAATTCGGATCGCATACCGCTTCCGTGTCGCCCAAATGGCCATCCTATGCTGCACTCGACACGCTACCAAACTTTCTTCCTGCCAAAGCCCCAAAAGCTGTGGTTGAGCACCCTATTGGAAGTCCGCAGAGTGCCAGTGCCGGGCCAGGAACTTGGTCGAAGACCTAACCACGGTTCTCTCCAAGTCGACTTTACGCTTGCCTGCGCCCTTGACGAACCTCGAGTAGCGGAAGGTTGTGGCGTTGTTATAAATGCAGCAGTCATCATCAGCAGGCAACTCCACAGCCTGCAATGCCGGATGACCACCGCACAGTAACGCTTCTGCGACTTCGGCGCGCCGGCTGAGCCAGGAGTCTGCACCTGGAAAATCCTCTGATAGGAATAGCGGCGGCCAGTCGTCTATTTCCATCCCTTCACGAATCTCTTCTGCGTGCCCTCCGACGTTACTTATTGGGCAGACGTCGACTGTCAAGGTGCGAAGCTTGTCAAAGCCCTGGACGATTCTGCTGAGGCCTTCAAGCGAATATTCTTGACGTACGGTGTTGACGGCCTCGAGATAAAGGTGTTCCAGACCAGAAAGGTGCTCATGGAGCTTGTGGAGGTTGAGGGCAAAGCACATCACACCTATCTGTAAGGAGCGAAGCTTCGTGAGCGCGGACGCGTAGCGATAGAATGGGCCTTTGTACTCTTTGTGAATTTCGCCCAATGTGTGGAGCCAACCAGCACGCCACCTGGTTGTGGTCGGACAGTTGGTCTCGGCGAGATAGAGAGTCCTGGTGTTTGGGCAAATGCGCATGAAGTACTCGGCACCGAAGGAGACGACGAGTTCTTCGACTTGTTGCAGCGGCTCGAGGCGGAGGTAGCGGGCGTAGATCTTGATGTCTTTTAGCAAGCGCATTGGAAGCTCGCTGATGCATAGACGCTTGAGCATCCGCGGTGTCCTGAGTAGATCAAGCAGAGTAGGTGGAACGAGTGGAGGTAGGACCTCCTGGCGAGCATTCACATCAAGATCGTCCGCGCTGGTGTGGTAAGAAATGCACTCCAGTGACAGCGACCTGCATATGTAAGCGTAGTTCAGCTCATAGTAGCGGTCTCATGAATCTTACTTGGCATGAACAATCAAGTCCCTTGGCCAGCGGATGGTTCTCTCATAGCGTGCGGTACCAGCGTTGAGCTCCATGATGCCCCCACCGCAACGAAATTCGCGCGGATAGAGCAGATCGAGGCACAGGAACACATTTCGGAAGACGATCAACGACGTCTTCTCGCGGATTTCCTTGTTGATCATTGAGAAGGCAATGAGCGGGCGGGGTTTATTGAGAGCCATAAGGACCGATGGGCTGCAAGGGTTCTTGAGGTGATCCAGGCGCTCAGTCCAAAGGTCGAAGTCGAGAATGGCGACCGCCTCAGCGACGTGCAGGAGGCAGTCGTAGTTGAGCCTCAACAGAGGCGGAGTGCTAGCCTCCATGCTATGCTGTGGATGGGCGGAAGATCTGAGGTTGTAGTAAGGTGGACAGAAATGAAAGTTCGAGTGAAGCTGTTTTGTGCGCCGCCAACGTTGTTACGTTGTTGCTTAGTCACCACCCATGTGCTAACCCGCCGACACACGTGCACACATTGGCTTTTTTGTTGCCACCTGCAACTAACACTGCTCCACTAAGAAGCACAGGCAACGGCCATCACCGATGAAGGTCATGTGGGAGGCCTCTCTGACGTTGTTCGCCGGGAATGAGCTCAGAAAATTGAACATATATCTTGCAAACTCATAGTAAGATAACGGACTCGAGGCGATGGTCGTGGACGGCCGGGCCCATGGAGAAGGCGGAGTGGATCCCGAACTACTCATAGACTCCCAGTCTAAATGCGCGGATCGCTGCGTACCCTCCTAAGAGCGCTCCGGGCGTTTCCCCTCACAAGCACGGCTGGTTCCTGCGAGTGTACTTGCGTAGCGGAGGTGGCAGGGTTGCGCCTTCTCGTTCGATGCGAGGTGCCGGCCGAGTCCACAGGATGAGCTTCCGCACAGAAGCTGCCTCTCCTCCTCATCCTCATCCTCGCCATCCTCACTCTAACACGCGTCCCCGAACAAACCTTTGCAGACCCGATGCCTTCGATCCGCCTGCGTGTTGACAGCACCTACCGTAGACTCTATGATCAACGCAGCCACCACTCCCACAGCTCCCTCCCCAGCATCACCACCGTACTGCCTACCGGCATCCTTCAAGAGTCTCCCACGCCGCGTCCGTCCTTGACGCAGCCCACTGACTACGCGCCGCCCGAGTTTCCCGTCGTCGAGCAGATGCCGTTCAAGCCAAACTACAGGGCCTTCATGGCCTGGAACATGGCCGATACCACACTGGTCCTGCTGGTTGTCGCCCTTGGCGTCATCCTGGGCGTCTTCTACCCCGCCCATGCTCGCGGCTTCGATGACAATGGCCCAGACGCTCCGCCGCGCTGGGAAGACGACCTGACTCCCGAGGTCGCCGCCGCCATGGAGCGCGATGCGGCTGAGCGCGCCGCTCGCAACCAACGACTCACCGAGGAAGGCTACGAGACTGACCGCGAGGACAATTGACCACCGCCTGGGCATTGGCACGCTTCGTATCGGGCTTCACCTTTGCCTACGGGCCCCATGCCTTCCACTGCATCTCTTCTTGAAGGCTGCCGCTGAGTCACTTACGGCAAAAGGACCAAAGAAAGGCTCGCAACGCAGCTCGACACGGCAGGATGCTCGAGGATCGACTACACAAACTGTTCGTGTCAATGACCCTGCCTGTTCTCTGCGGAGCATGACTGACTTTCTGGAAGCTAGCAGTGCAGACCTACGTTCCGCCCTTAGCCACCGCTCGACGCATTTCCTCCACCCATGTACTGTTCGGGGCCGACCGCTGGTTCACATTTTCTCCTTCTCTTGATTTCTATACCCTTGTGGGACGCCTTTGAAAGATTGAGGGATGGATATTGTATGATGTTAGCAATGACACGGCTAGTTGTTTTCGCCACAGGGCTGCTTGCTGAATGATGAGATGGCTTGCTTGATGCTATCATGGGTCCGTAGTCAATGAAAGGTCTTTCGCTGAAATATCCTGTCCATGTGTCAATACATGAGGAAGAACCTCGAAATGGTGCGATCACACAAGATCCGCGCATGGATTCAGCATGTGAATACCGGCAGCGTGGGCCGCGCACAGCGTGAGCTCCTCGAAAGTAATAGCATTGCTTCAGCCTTCGACCTGTGGGCGTGAACACGAATGATTCTGCTTGAGCTATCGTTATCGCAAGAAATGCTCAATATCTGCCCAGAGATGGTCAAGCGCTGCGAACATCGGTAGGCGGGGAGCACCACCACGCAAAGCCAACATAGCGGCAGCTTCATTGCTAAGCTTCAGGCCTAAGAGGAAGGCCAGAAGGCAACGTGAAAAAGCAGCAGTGTCTTCCGTCCACAGCGCCCCAGGTTCACCAGCCGCACCCTCTCAACTCGCAGCCTGGCCTGGGCCGACTCCTCACCCGGCGCCACCCGCACTTTCACCACCACGCCACTGCTGCCTAACGCTCCTTCCGCATCCGCGCTCATAAACAGGGCACGCGTTGCCCTGCTGGCCGCGTTGCCACGCCAAGCTAAGCGAGCACCAGACCGTCCTCGTGCCGGCCCCCCACCGAAACACATATAAACCCCTCCTCGCCCCCCTCCTCCTCAAACCTTTTCTTCTTCAGGACATTCTTTCTTGTCTTTGCAGTGGAAGTTCTTTTTAGTTTTTTTTTGGGAAACTGCTTCGCTCGGTTTCCATAAGCTGATTTCCCCGATGGTCTCTCGGACTCATCGAGAGTGTAGATTGAAATGGGAAATTTGAATGCTCCTCGGCTTGAGATTGTGGCCGGAGGGGTATCGGCTAGTTCGCGCCCGACATTTTTTTTTCTTTTTGATCGCGCTTGAGTAATTTGAATTGATCCTGCTTGTATGCTTGCTTGCTTGCTGGCTTGTGGTGAAGCGCTGGGGAGTGAAGCAGATCAGTGCGCCGCTGCGCCGATGTGCACGGCGCTGCGCTTCCCTGCCCTGTGTTGGCCGCGCGATGCGGTGTCTGGCTGCCAGGCTTTGGGGCGGCCGGCCGCTGGGCTGGCTGCGCTGGGCGTTCTGCCGTGGCGGGCGAGCATGGTGGTGTTGTGCGCCCGCTCGCGCCGCGCGAGTCGCCCCGTACCTGCAAGTGCAAGTGCCCGCCGCCTTGCGCCCATGTTGCAGGTTCATACTGTCTCGTATATGCGCGGCGGATTTCTTTGAAGCACCGGAGAGGACGGAGTGGAGATGGTTCGAGGCTATGCGCTGGAGATTGGACGCTGGATGGAACTGTTCTTGTCATCGTTGCGCACTTCTCCGTCATGGCTGCCATAGCCGCGCTCCTCTCCCGCTGCTGAGCTGCGCCGCCCTCCGCCTTGGATTTTCGTCTCGAGGCGTTTAGCATGTAGTAGATTGGTAGGGACACGTTGCGTAAGAGTCTGAAATCAGGTTCTGAGACCGTCGGGTACAGCTGCCGGTGCAGAGTTTGTTTACTCGTGTTGTTTCCACACAGCGCGTCTCCGCTCTGGCAACAGCGCGCGCAAACGGAGCGGATAATTCATAGGCTCACTTGGCTCGGTCTGTTCTCATATCAAGATCCTTGATTCTTCCGAAGGATACGGCTGTCTTGTATAGGCGCTTGAAAAAGGGATAACAAGGGTGCTGAAGATGATGATACGTTGCTGAATGAGACCCTTGTGGGTCTATGATGAAATTCTTCCTCAACGAAATGATGCGGTCCAACAGAATCAGAACATAGTTGACTTCCCAAATGGGCTTCTTTACGACGTGCGCGTCACGACAGCTGACTGGGAAGCCGAGCGACGAGGCTTGGCAGCGCCTGGCCCTCAAATATCTCATTTCGCCCGCTCGATCCCATCCTCCTCCACTCTACTCCACTCCCTCTTTTCTCCACCACACTTTACCGCCCCACCAACTCCAATGACATCCAAGGCAGTCGCTTCTTGCTATGTGTCCTCGCACAAGGTGCTGACGCGCTCAGAAATTCTTGCGTCGTCTCGTGTCAGCCTAGCTCGAATGCACCTGTCTTGCGCTGGACATTCTTCGCTAGGCAGCAAAACATGTGTCAGTAAGCTTCGGACTCACTTTTCTTCGCGCCGGGCTACCTTCAACTGCATGTCTTCACCCTTGTCGTTGTAGCTTCCCTTCACCCGGTCTGACCATCGCTGACACGAACTCCCCCACCGCATCGCGCGGTAGGCAGGCCATCCAGAAATATCATGCTTGCCACTCACCATAATGACAAAATTTACCGCTTCATCTGCTCTCTGCTGCGCATTTCGACACCCAGCCCCATTGCCGCTCATCAGTATCTGCCAGCCCAACAAGCCTTTGCCTCCCACCAATCATCCTCGGCGGTCGTACTCAAATCACTGGTCGCCTCCCACACCAGAGATATCCACGATCGCCGCAGATCAAAACCAACCTGTTTCAAACCGACCAACGCTTCCTGTCAGACAGAAATGTCGGGGGCTGTCATTGCGACGTGGGCTTTGGCCGTGCCTAAGCCCGGACGTGAGGATTCCGGACTCTGCAGGAGTGGCGTCGTTCTCATGCGTAACACACGGGGTCTGGATCTGGGGGTAGGGACTGGGTCTCTCGCGTTCGGGCTAGGCATGAGTGACAGGTTGGGACATTCTTCTGGATTGTCTCTTGTCCATTTTCTTCACATACCCTTGCACGTCCCCCCTTCCTTCCTTTCTTTGTCGATGTTTCTCTTCACAACCGGCGATTGAATTGCTCTAGTCACCCTTCCAGCTTCTAGACCCTTCCACCTAGTCTATTCCTTCCTATCGCTTTCTCCTTTCTCGTATTCCAACCGGCACCGTCTCCGGGGTCTCCGACGTTCTCGTTTCAGATCCAGATCACGCCGAAGAGCATACACCACCGCAGACTCTCCCGACCAAAGATTCCCAGTCGGACAGAAATGTCGGGGCCGCTTGAGATGAGTTCACTCACTCGGGCGTGTTCGATGGACTTTGTTGTCGTGCTCAGCAACCCCTTGACTGTTGCTGAGTGTTGCAAATGCGGTGGGACATATTTGTCCTTTCTTCATCAAGTCATGTATTTACTCTTGCTTCCTGATTTCTATCTATACACTATCTGTTGATTCTTGCAGACCTTTCTCCTCAAGTGCCTATGGCATTACCGACGTGAGCTTGTGGAACCACACTTCTTATTTGCAACATTACATCACGTAGACTCTGCCCTCCTATACTACTTTCACTATCCTATCACCACAATGGCGCAAGCCCGATGCCTCTCGGAATAAAGCCACACTTGCCAGACATAGAACACAAAGGTACCATCGCCAACTATAAGCTTTGGCCACACAGTCTCTTAAGGTAGCATCATCGACACATCCTGTCTTGCTACTCCCGCTCGATCACAGCACGAGTTACGGATGACAATTCCACCAGAGAGTGGACCATTCCATGTAACAAGTATAGGAATCTATTAACCAGGCTGACAGACCCGCCCGTCAGGGATGTGACTGCTTAGAGAAACATAATGAAGCATCAAACATAGTTAGTACTACAGGAAGGCTGAGTGTCGATCCTACAGGGTCCCCAGAAGCGTGTAGCTCATACAGCTGTTTCCCTTCGCAACGGTCACTTCGTAGCTTGGGACCTTGTGCTTTTTCTTTTCCCTATTCATGTAGTTGGACAGCCTGCACACACAAATCGACAGACCTGAAAATGCAGTGGGGAACGACACAACGGAGCATTGTTGAAGGGCACTACGGGAATGAAAATGTCGGAAGCCTACAGTCACGAGCTTCTCAACGTGTTATTTGCCGCTGGTAGGACGAAGCCGCGCATGGTACCGAGACACAAGTCAAATCATCTTTGAGTTCCGTTTTCCACACGCACTGCGTCACGCGACTATATCAAAAGCCCCGTAAGCCTCGACCGTTAGATGTCGTAATCTGATACGATTTGCGCGGCCCTAATGTTTCGGGGTATGAAGGACTCCCAAGATGCATATTGGAGGACGGAGGTAGTTATGAGCAATAGCAAAGTGAAGCATTTAGCACCATGATATCTACTAGCAGGCGTAGTTACCATAGCGCCTGAGCAAGGACAAAGCGCCGCTCGGTTGAACCGATGAGGCTTTAGTGCTATAAGCAACGCCATCATAACTTTTACGGAGCTTTTAGTGAGAAAGGTGACGTCGAAAGAAAAGCTTCTAGTTGGCTCTTACAGTTTTGACCAAGAGATTTTGGGATAAAATGTTGGGACCGATGCCCAACCACACCCATATATAGCTCATCCGGAGAATAAAACACCGCCCATTCCCGCTAGTAAAATGGCTTAGATTCTATATTAGCTTGTTGAAATATATTGAAGTCGGGTAGAGTGGCTCCCTAACCGTGGAATACTTTAAATCAGCATTTGAGTATTAAAGTGCCAATTCTATGGAAACCATGTTACCGTGGGAAAGCCGGCCCCGAAATGTTTTAAAAGACTCGAATTTTCATTCCTGCTGACTCCCAAGCAGATTGTTCCCTCGGCTCTACACAATGCCTTCGTAGAGCCCGCCAGCATCCACGTAATTCATCGGAGAGTCCTCGAAGCTCTTTAGAGTTCAAGAGGGTAAGCTAAAGCGCCATAGTATGGAAGAACTACACGCATCCTGTTTTTGCTCGGACTTGCTCTCTTTTTGCAGTACTAAACTTCGACGGGGAGATATTCCCCTTAATGGAAGTCAAAAGGCATTAGTGTAGAGGGAACAGGAGGCCTATGAACTCCAATCTCGTAAGGAGAGACTGTAGGACTCCGCAGTACTACCGGATCGATTCGTGTCTCATCTTGTCTGTAATTACTATGCCACTTGCTCCGCTACTCGACCAGTTTGTGAGGTTTGCCAAAGGAAGCTGATAGTGGAGTGTGCTTCCAATTCTCTGTTTCTCATAAGTTCGGCTCGTAGTCATTCCCGAATCGATCCGCAATGCGACAGCAAGGTGTCAGTAACTCTCAAGCTGATGTCAAATGGCTGCAAATCTTCCATCTCTATTTGCCTTACAAAAGGTCAAAGATTAAAGATGACGGAGAATTTTCCCACTCGGACCACTGCACATGAAGTCAAGCGGTGATGCCCATAATCCAATTGACCATACGGTAGCAAAAACACCAAAAGAATAGACCCTTCAAAGAGCGACGTTCCTCATCACAGCGAACGCAAGCTTCCCCCTCCATCCACCAACAAGCCACCAAACTCACACACACGCACAAGCCAAAACACCCCTAAGCCTCAGAAAAAAAAAGCAAGCCAGCCAGCAAGTCATCCCCACATAATCAAACGACTCAACTCCTCCGCAACCCTCTCACGCATCCTCTCCTGCCACGCCCAGTGCCCCTCGGGCATGACATGCAGAAACAAGAAATTACGCTCCCTCAGCACACGGTCGTAGTCCCAGCCACTCGGCCACCTGTCGTCCGTGATGATGCCGTCGGCATCGACGCCGTCGCTGCCGCTGCCGCCGCCGCCGCGCTCCCGGTTGAGCTGCTCGCTGGCGGACGCTGTCTGTTCGAAGAAGCACGGGTGTCTTTTGGGAGTCATGTGGAAGTGCATGGTCTGCTCTAGCTCGGGCAGCGCTAGCAGTGACCTGGGTCCGAAGAAGCGGGTGGAGTTGCCGATGAGCATGAGGTTCATGACGGTGCGTTTGAGCAGCTGTGGCGGGAGGGGATTAGTATCTGTCGAGGGAGAGGAGGAGGGGGGGGGAGAAGGTGGTGGGAAAGGAGGAGGGAGGGGGGCTTTTGGTGAATGTGTTGGTTTTGGTATGCTTTGGGAATGAGTGGCGAACGATGGTTGTTGTGAATGGGGTGCACGTACTTCGTAGGTGGGGATCGCGTCCCGAGACACCTCCCAGATCCAAGGCGAAGGGTTGGGCGGGTGCAGCTGGTCGCAATGAGGGGCGAGCATAATCGTGATGTAGTGTGGCGTGGGTATTGGCATGTCGAAGCGCATGGCAATGATGGGACGCTCGGGCTCGGGCTCGGAGTCGAGCTCGGAGTGGAAAAAGGGGAGCTCGGCGAAAAAGCGGAGCTCGTCGTTCTGCTCTGGTACCTCTAGTGTAGGGTTAAACAAGAATGCAGGCAACCGCTCCATATTTTGGGCTGGGTGGTAAACGAAGGGACGTCCTGCTTGGTGTTATGGAAAGACTGGGAGTGATAAAAGACGCGATGCTGGGATGCCGAATAATGTGACAAGATGTCTTGATGAAGAGCGAGAGGAGTGAGGGGAGTGAGCGAGGATGGCAGGTCAGCGCAGATGCAGATACCCGAATTGGCAGGCGCAGCTCGTTGCGGATCAAGCACCGCCTGAAGTGTGCGTCAGGCGCCAACCAGTGTCACAGCGTGCCTAACATCCCACACGCCCCTCGCAGAAAGGTCTGGTCTGGATTTCTGCTACAAAGAGGCGATCGATTACTTTGTGAGTCGGCTTCCAAAGCCCTGAGAGTCTATCAAGTTTCTCCGACAAGAGACTAGACTCCACATGCAGACCTGAAAAGTACTAGTGAGCTCGACATGGAGCAGCTTCCTGCAACGACGAGGCAGCTTTGACAATGGATGGTGCTTTTTGTGTCTGCCTGCACTAGCCAGATCATGTAACATGCCCCAAGACCTTCCCCAAGCTGATCCATTACCTTACGTATCCCGTAATAATGCTCCCGAAGCGAGTGGCTCTTCTCAGACATGAGTTCAACAAGACCGATCTCCCCCATCTTGTCCGTCATCCACCAATCAATCCCGCACGACCGCCCAGTGCTCCAAAAAGTCCCTCCCCAGCAGCTCCACGCTCTGATAAACGACGCCGGGCTCCGCCTCGCCGCCGCGCTCATCCTCCACCACCGTATGATCCTGCCAGCGGCAGTCGAAAAAGCCGCGCTCGACCACCCTCATCTCATAGAGCCTCCGCAGCTCCTCGACCGGATACGGCGCGCGCGCCTCGCCGGGCCGCCACGCCACCATCCCCGCCTCCCCCGGGCCCAGCTGCTCGCACGTGCGCCGCGACGCCGCCGGCACCCCGACCAGCTGCTCCAGCTTCCGCTCGCGCCGCTGCACCCACACGAGGTTGTAGTTGTCATGCACCCACTCGGCGAAGTCCTCGAACGGAATCCGCGGCATCTGCTTGCGGAGGCCTTGCACGTCCATCTTCCACAGCGCGGCGAACAGCTTGGCCCTGCAGACGGGGCACTCGAAGGGCGCGGGGCCGAAGCCTGGGTCCGCGGCGGCGGCGGCGGGGCGGGGGTGGTGTCGCTGGCTCGAGAGTGACGACGACGACGGGGCGCGGAACGCGGTGGACAGGGGCTCCGTCGCGCAGTTGGTGGCGCAGAAGGAGGGCGGCTCGGTGAGCGGCGTCTTGAGCACGTGACCGCAGCGGAGGCGGTGGAAGTGGCAGCGCCGGTTGGTGCAGGGCGCGATGGGTGTGGGAGGCGGCGGCGGCGGCGGCTGTAGTGGCGCTGGCGCTGGGAGATAGTAGTGCTGGCGTGTGGCTCTTGCAATGCCGGGGGGATGCGGAGCATTGCTGCTGGCGAGGTGGCGGCGCGGGCGAGGTGGCATGGCTTGTGGTGGAGGTAGTGTGTATCGTGCCGCTGAGCCTAGCGGCGGTCGTGCATTGTAGATTTGGGAGAGAGGTGGGAGCTGAGGTGCTGCTTGTACGGGAACCCCGGGGTTGTTGTAGTATGTCGGAGGAGCAGGAGGTTGATGCCGTGCGTCATTGGGATTGGGTGACGCAGGCCGGTAGTTCATGTCGCCATGACTAAAGACTGGCCGCCCTCCGTTGTTGTGCGTCATGCCATGGATATTGTTCTGAGGTGGGTATCTGGGGTAGTTCGGGGGTGTGTAGAACTCGAACTCGAACGACGGCGCTTGCGGCGGCAGCGGCTTATAAGACCTCATGATTTCCGCGAATTTGGGCCAGAGACTCTAGGTGAGAGCAGGTATCCAGGGCGCTGCAGGACTGGCTCAGGGTGTCACGCTACCGTAGGCGCCGAAGACCCGCGATCTGTGGTCGCCACGGCGCGCCGAGGACTTGTCAGATAGTGGAACCACGGTGAACGAACACCCCGAAAAATGCAACGACAAGTGGAAACTAGAGTTAGCCCGAGGACGCATACGGGTAGCGGGTGTGAAGAGAGGCAATGAGCGTGTTGGGTGAGCTGGTCAGAAGTCGTTGCGATTTACAGAAAGAGCCGTCGCGTCGCAGAAGCAGCAGCTACGTCTACCATGGAAGAAATTTTTTTTTGTATCCGCTCTACCTTTATTTGCCGCGTGCAAATGTCACCCAAGCCTCTGAAGCGTGTAGCAACGGAATTAAAAACTATCCAATACCTCCGCCGCCCCGACCAATCCCCAGCATACCTCACCATACCATCATCCATCACTCTTGCCTTTTTACTCCTCCCGGCCTTCAAGGTAGGCATCCAGCACTTCCCGAGCGCCGTCTAGTTCTTCCTCCGCGAACCAACTCATCTCGTCCGGTGGCCAGTTCGCCCATTTGACTAGGTAGTACCGCTTGCCCTCGAAGAACTGATCTCTTATGATCGACTCTATTTCGTATTCTTCCTCTTCTGCCACCTCTGGCTCCCAGGACGAGCCCTCCGCGGGAGGATGCAGCATGCTCGACGCTTGGTGCCGAGTAGACGTAGTAGGGACGGTGATTGGTGAACGGCGGCGTTCCGAGTTTTTTCGTTTCGCGGCCGCCTGCTTGCTCGAGCCCGCCGAGGCGTCAGAGTCGTCGATGTTCTGTTGTGCGCCTTGCCGCCGTGACGATGAGTTTTGAGTCGAATTAAAGGCGGAAAGTAGGCTGGCTGCTCCGTTCTCCGCTCCCGTTTTGAAGCTTGACCGCGAAAGAGCGGCGCTGGCTTGCCTGGATCGTATGCGGCTATCGGCGGTGCGGAAAGAATGGGCTGCTGAATTGTTGGACGCCAACGACGAGCGTCGTAGAGAGGCACCTCTACTAGACATCGAGCGACGAACCGGGGAAGCTGGCATGAGCGTATCGTCAAAAGGTGTGCTGCCATCACCCGTCGTCATGTAGCGTTGGGTGGTACTTGCACGAGACGACGCCTCCGACCGCTCTGCCGAGAGCAAATCTACCCCAGCCCTCCACTTCCCCAAATGATGCTCATCCTCGCTCGCATCCGTTAGCGCCAGCTCATCCTTCTCGTTGCTACCGCCGCCGCTGCCGCGATCCGGCGCTCCACTCTCGGACACCATCCCCCTCACTTTCGCCGGGTTGACCCACTCCCCATACTCCGCCGTCTCCGACAGGGCATCCACATCCACATCCACATCCCCCTCCCCCTCCACCGTATCCTCCACCGTCTGCAACGCCTCCTCCTCCACACCCACAACGCCCATCATCACCTTCGCCGTCTTCGGCGTCCTCCCCCTCCTCCTCCGCGGCGGCAGCAAATCGACAAACTCCCTCGTTGGCTTCTTCTTCCCCTTCAGCTTCCTCCCCTTCTTCTCCCCCTCCGACATGGCCGCCGCCGCCGCCGCCGCCGCCGCTGCCACCTCCACCCCACCATCCGCAGCAGCACTCGCCACCGCTTTCCGCTCGTCATGCTGCTGCCCCTGCTGCCCCTGCTGCCGCTCCTGCGCCCGCCATCCCATCATCGCCCGCTGCGCCTCCCTGCTCACCAGCAGCACCGCGCCCTCCTCGTCCACCATGACCACGACGTCGTCTTCCCACGCCAGCTCGAACCGCTCCAGCTCCGCCGCCGACACCCACGACAGGATGTCCGCGAGCGGCGCCGTGTGTTCTTCGACGTCGTCATCATCGTCATTTTCGTCATTGTCGTCCTTGTCATCCGCGGGCAATACTACTGGCGGTGCACCGCCGCCATTTTGTGTTGTTGTCATCCGTATCGCAGCGTCGCTTGTGCCCCGATCAGCATCGTCGTCGTCATCGTCGTCGTAGCCGTCGTGGTAACCGCGTCCGCCCAACGACGATGATGGCGAACCTTCATACCGCTGCTTCCGCCGCTGCTGCTGCTTCAGCGCCGGCGCCGGCGGCGACGAGCAAGCCTCGATGCGGACCCGGTACAGCGGCTGCATGGAGACGGGGTCGTAGCGGCGCGAGACGATCCTGGCGCGGCGGCCGGGCGGGAGGGGCAGCGGGCACGCGGACGGAGGCGTGGGGGCGATGGGCGGGATCGCGCGGTTGGGGACGTAGGGCAGCGGCGTGGCTGGGCGGTCGTCGTTTTCTGCGTCGGCGGCGGCGGCGGCGGCGCCATTGGGTCTTCTGGCGGAGGTTGTGGTCTTGGTGGCGCCATTGGGTGCTGTGGTGGAGTTGTTGTTCACCCCATTGCGCTGTGTGGAGGAGGGTGGGGTGGGTGGTCAGCGAGCGAGCGGGCGGGCGAGCGAGCCAGCGGTACCTTGGTGGCTGCTGACTCGGGGCCAATGGCGGAGGAGGATGGGATGATTGCTTACCTTGGACGAGGAGGCTGCGCGCGAGGCGTGGTGCGGCTTCGATGTGGGCGCTGGGGTCCTGCGCGCGCGTTTCGCCGGGCGCGAGGTGTCGGACATGGTAAAGGTGCGGGCGGCGGAGGGTCGGAGGATGGACGCGATTCTCGAGAGCTCGGCGGGACGCGTTCGCGCAAAACACCGACCCAACGCTCCCGCCCGCTCACCTCTCGGCCAATCAACTCCTGCGGCGCTCTTTGCGCACCCCGGCCCCTGCCCTCAGCGCGGGAAAATCTCTCGCTCCGTCACCGAGCTGGCTTTCTTTCGACGACATGTCGTGGCTTCCTTCGCCTCGTTTTGTTCGACCGGTTGCGTTCCTTGGGCTGATTGGGCTTTTCGCACCACGAAGTCGCAGTTTACTGGACTGCTGAGATGGAAGGGAAGGGAGGGAGCGATGTGGGCTGCGCGTGCGCTGTTTTTTTTTTTCCTTTGTCCAGTTTCCCAATGATCGCGATGTTGCATGCGTGCTGTGGCCTGAAGCATGTAGGATATGGACGTTCCCGACAGCTTGGACAAGGGATTTGCCCGGCCACCATCTCCAGGTCCTTGACGACAGCATGGAAGCCATCATCTGTCATTCGGGCATTGGCTATGCCGGCTCCTCATGCCCAGGCTCATTCAACACCGGCTTGCGTGGGTGATGCGGCACGCAGCCACCTCTACGCGAAGCAGCAATCATTCTGGTAGAGAAAAAGCAAGACAAGCGGTCACACAGCAGACACACGAAGATCTAAGGGTCTCATTCTGCTAAAAAAAAAAAAGAGTTCTGACCTTCCCAAGTCATCTAATACCTCCATTGGTTGGCTTCTCCCTTCCCTGAGGCATGTACCTCCGTTGGTGAGCTCCCTACCTGCCCTCAGGCTTGTCCTCCCACTAGCTATCCCGCCTTTTGATATCAATCCACTTTGGCTCCTCATGTGTCCGCTGACGCTTTCCCCCACGATCGTTCAATGAGGCTATGTCCCAATTCTCGGTCGCCGAGGACAAAGGAACGGTGAGATTGTCTGCGGTATGAGCAAAAGTCAGCAGCAGCATCTCCCAAATAGGTGGAAGCAGTGGAAGAAGAAGATGAAAACAAGCACACGGCTCAGCTAGCTCGGCCTCCAACGAGGCGTCGTCTCCGGACCAGACACCTCCCCCATCGCGATCACGTATCCACCGGCCTCCCGGTTACAAGAGCAGCAAATGTCGATAGAGCAGCTCGACAACGACCGGGTTCTTGCTGGGGAATCAAGCTGCTAGGCGAGACCCGGCCCACGACAGCCCTGTATGGTGAAGTCACAGACGCTCCAGAAGATTGCCACGGCCTCCGCACCTTGAAACCAAAGGACGAGGCTGGGATGAGAGGACGGCCGTGTCGCAATGGCAGGTGGGCAGTCCAGTCCTCAGAACTGTTCTTTCGGGCGCAAAGACCCTCATCATGTGTGCAGTATGTGTGTTTGGAAATGCGGGTGACGTACTCTCTGGAGTGAAGGCGGTCGGAGGACTCGTGGCAGAGGCGCCCGATGGGATACCTGCATGGTACCTCGTCATTAGCGCAAGTTCAAGATAATTTAGGTAAATAAAGTGAAGTTGGATGAGGAACGGTCAGGTAGCTCCGCTTCTTCCATCGCCGACCTTTCGTCATAACCTGCGCCAGCAACGCCGCCAGAAACGCGCGATCCTCACATTTGGCGATGTGGGAAGCTGCTTCGTAACGTGTTGTCAAGCAGCATGCTCAGAAAAGGTCGACTTAGACAAGTGTAGTCGGTCATCATGTGAAGTGAAACAGTGGCAAAAAACAGGAAGAACCCACAAAGATAAACAAGTCGGGCGTGCCCAACAGGGCCAAAGTGCGAGGCGCCTGCAAGGTGGTTAGCGATGGAACATCAACGAACGTGCAGCATCATGGAAATGTGGTGACATGGTCAGACTGAGCTCAATTGCAACCCATAGAAAACCCTGACCTCCCTGTAGAAGGTCCCGCCGTAGCTGGTTTTCTTAGATTCTTTGCCTTCTGGGGAGACGTGCTCCCTCATCATATGCCAACAAGGAATGGGGACAGCGAGGGCTTACCTTGATTTGTGATGCTTCTCAAGTGAGGTGTGGCAAGTGCGGCGTTGAAGAGGGCACCAGCACAGAAGGAGCGAGGCCAGGTGAGACGCAACGCACAAAAGAACCTGAGGTATCGTAGAAGTCAGTCAGATATTCCAGTCAGAAACGAGCAGAAACGGTGAAGGAAGCCAAGTGCGACGGGTCAAATTAGCTCTCGGTTCGGCATTGCAACCCAAATCGGCAGTGTTCTGGCAGGCCGTGGTTGTCTCGCGGCAAGCACCTGCAAGCAAGTGGTTGCTTTGGGTATCATCATATCGCGCGAAAGATGGTGCTGGTGAAGGGAAACATGACTCACTTGTGGTATGAAGTCAGATGAAGTAAACTTGAAGAAGATCTGGAAGTTGAGGAACGTTAGCAAGAGCCCTGACACGAAAAGGCGGGAAGAGTGAATGCAGAGTGAAGTGATGTCAGGCAGCTCTAGTCTTCTCAAGGACAACCATGGAGACACCACATCGAGTGATGCGCCTTGCCGTAGCCGGTTGTTGTTCAATTCAAGTGAAATTTGGTCATCATTGGGTATGCAGGTGAGGTGATGAGAGAGAAGGATCTTACCGAAGATCTGAGACGAAGCTCGAGGAAAGCGAAGGAGGATGAGGTGGAAGGCATGAGTGAAGGAGACGGGAGTGGATCTTGATTCAAGGCAGAAGGCAAAGCGAGCTGTCAAGCTAAGCTGAACGTCGAAGGAGGAGAGTGGGAGGAGGATGAAGAGGGAAAGGTTAGGTTGGATCCGAAGATTGGTTTTGACATGGAAGCCCCGGCCTGCGCACGTGCGTAGGCCATCACGTCGCGCCTGCCTCCCGCGATCAACCTGATCACACTCGGCCGGGCAGGCAGCCACGCAGCCGTTCGGCCAGCGCAACAGTCCAAGAGTGCAGATCAACCAGAGGGCAGATCAACAAGCGCGCGCGCGGCGCGTTCGTTTTGCGCAACCCGCAAGGCGGTGCGCCCACGCGACTGGTCAAATGAGAATTCGGGCGCACGGTCCGCTCATGGTTTCTCTGGCAGGACGGCCTGGCATATGATGCTCCAGCGAGGCTGGTCGGGACGGAGGCTCATTGCATTACTCTTCTTCAGGTGTGCGGTGCGCGTTTAACTCATGCGTCAGCAGCCGCCGGCGGCTCAACCCACACGGAGAGTAACGGGACAAGTACTCGTCCAAACCATGAGCCTGTCTCTGAGCCGAATGTAATTCCAACCGCACCATGGAGTGAGGTTCTCTCCTGCTCACGGCGCGGCTTAGTCACGGCGCGGCAGACCCAGCCGGACGCTGCACCCGCGGTACGAGAAGCTCCATCTGACCATCACGGTACCATCATATTCATTCATGCTCGTGATCTCTGCACCAAGCATGAAACCGCCAGCTGCACAATCAATGTCCCTTGCTTCGAAAATAGAGTCATCTCTTAGCTCCGCTTGAAAGACCACTGTCGTGCCGGTACAGAGTTTTCTTATTTTTGTGCAATTCAGCAGAGAGGTGAAAGCGGAATCGATAAAATGGTCCAGTGTCAGTTTAAATAAGATCAGAACCAATATAGCAATCGAACAGCGCCAGGTAGTAAAGCATGGCCAGCCACATGGCATATCCATCCAGCAAGCTTTGCGTCTCAGGTTGCGGACCAAGCAAGCGGGAAAAAAAAACAAATAGAAGCCGCCCAGCATCGCTACCACGGGCGGGAGCGGGATGGCGGCAAACCGCGGCATCGCACGCCACACTCAAGCACCCACAAGGCGAAGAATTCACGCAAGGCTCCTCTGGACAGAAGCGCGGGACCACACTTCACTGAGCCGAAGCTCTCCTTGGATGCCAGTAGGGAGCTTATCACTGGAGAGCGTGGTGCCCAAGGCCGCGAGAACCATCCGTCGGCACCACGCGCGTGGATCAGCACCCCCAAACTATGGTGCACTATGTGAAGACCCTGTATCCGCCGTGGTGGACCCAATATGCGCGCTGGTGGGCGGCCAGCCCGTCGGGTCCGCGGCTCATCGCCGATTCGATGCAGCATCGGCGCCGTCCAGTATGGCTGGTAGGTCGCGCTCGGGTGGAAAACCGGAAACCGGGTGGCGGGCGCGTCCCACTTGCTGCGCCGGCACCTGGGCGCGCATAGGCGTGGCTGGGCAGAAATGGTTGATTTATAAGGGTAGCCGGCGGTTCTAACTGCCAGAAGATGCCATTCGCATGTAAACATGTGCTGCGTAGTACCTCTGGGCTAGTGGCATTAGTTAGGATCTTGAGGCTTAGGACTCTGGAGACGGCGGATGTTCGAATCCCACCCTGGTCCCTGATACTTAACTTTTTGACTTTTTGCAACCCGCGAATCCAGAAACGACTTCCGTTGATCTTCCGGCCAGGCAGCAGCAGCATCAGTTCGGTTGGACGTGATTGTGTTGCGCTTTTTTGGCGCCTCGGTGGGTGGCATGGGCGGCGGCGGCGGCGGCGGCGGCGTGGGCTACCTGGAGCCTGGCCCAGCAGGCCCCGGTCGCGGAGCCAAGGGGCCTAACTTAGGCCTTCGTTTTTGGCGCACTCCCCCCCAACGCACTCGCGCGACCGGGCCTGTCTTTTAGGCGCTGGCAGCCAAGCAGCCACACAGCGCAACTCAACTGCTGCAGCGGGGCTTCTCAGCGGGCTATGCGGGCGCGTACCCGCCTGAAATAAGCCCCTCGTGGATTTCTTTATTTTGCGGCCTGTCAAACAGCCGTGCTTCTCTGCTTCACTTTGGATTTTGCAGGCGCTCTGAGTGGCGCCGCTGCTGGCGGAGGCCGCGTGAGGCTCAAGCGCAGCTCACTGCATGACTGGTTCGGCTTCTGGCTGGCCGTACCCATGGTATCCCGCGTTCTCGTTCCGACCGATCACGCATCACGATCTGCGTACCTCACGGTGAAGTTTTTCTGTCGGCGCGTAGCGCGCGGGCGGCGGTAGATCAGCGCCCAGCATCGCGCTGAACCGGCTCTGAGGGCGGCTTCGTCCGCAG